CATAATGAGCCCAGGGTAGTCGTCGTCGAGCGGTCCGCGCATGAGTCAGACGCCTCATAGGTCAGACCAAGTCCGACAAAATCTCATCCTCGAACCAAATAAAGGCCCAAAGTCCGACGCATCATAGGTCAGACGCCCCATAGCTCCGACGCCTCATATAGGCCGTGGGCCAAAGCCTGTAACGTGCAATTTCGTCTTAACTTTTTAGTGGCACCTTCATTCAGTTATAAGCAGTTTGGAACATGTTAATTGATATTTTACAATGTGCACAATTTGGTAAAACTGGTTCATGCCTTGTCGGACAAATTTGTAACGGTCCATAGCTCCGACGCCTCATAAGTCCGACGCCTCATTTTGTACGACGTCGGACAATATGAGGCATCGGAGCTATAATGAGGCCGAATACTAACATTGTCCATTAGTCCGATGCCTCATAAATCCGACGCCTCATAATTCCGAAATTTCGGACTTATGAGGCGTCGGACCTATGAGGCGTCGGGCTTACGATACGGCCCCGTTGTCGATTCATGAAAATGCACAAGCACCTCTTACAAAATGGTTGCCCAATCCTTTTTGGGTTGTACTGCCTTTGTTTTTAAACTTTGGATTTAATTTGTTTTAATTCTTGTGATTTTTAATGTAAATTTCGATGTTACATGTTATGCGCGATTTATCATTGTTATGATAATACAAATTTTAATTTATTACTACATGTATTATTTATAAGGCAGTTGCGCAATCGATGCGAAATGGTTATGTCACCATTTGTGTCATTATTTGCTCGTTTGTTTCCGATTCGTTTTGTTTCCACTGTCTCTAACCACGGAGGAAGGAAAACAGATGGCTTCCCTTTGTAAGGGCAATTTCTACGGGAGAAAAGTCCAACAAAATGTATTAGACAATAGACATTAAACAGTCGCTGTGTATTTCTCCAAAATGTCAGCTTATATTTTTTTCCTAGAGCAAGAGTACTTAGGTGATAGTAAAGATGCGACAATCAGATCTTTCTTCTGCAAAAGTAGCACATTATCACCGGCTGCACTCTCTCTCTCCCTGCCCAGCTACGTTACCGATGGTATCCGAGCAAATGAGCTGAAAGATAAAGCATCTTACCCGAAGACTTTTTAATGCATCGGCCCCTAACGGTTCCTGACTTTGATTGGCCCGATTAGTAACTAGCCGTCGTTAGATAATATCTCGAAGAGCTATAGCGACGGAACTGACGGTTTTCTGTTAAAAGCTGGGGTCTGTTGCGTGTCAAACCCCACTGCACAAGGTTTGAGCACTCTTTTCATATAGTTAACAGCAGAATCCACCAGAGGGCGTTTGCCTCAACTCCTAAGTGAGGTTAAGTAGCAAGTTGCACTTGCTGAGGTCCATTTTATCCTGTGGAAACTAGAGGGTAAGAGATTCAGGGTATTTGATAGACCTTTTGGTTTTCTTAAGTTCTAAGTTGTATAAGTACATATATGTTGTTGTCGATTGTTAAGAATAAAGCCCCAATGCGTCGTTGAAAATGGGACTGGTTCCTGGACCAGACGATTCTGACGTCTCAAGATAGATCGTAGGTTGGCCGTCACATTCAAACATCATGAAACATGACGCAAAGCCCAGACCTCGTCCAAGTGATACAGATACTGAACAATAGCCTGGTGTGGGATTGATATGAAGTCGAATGTAACAAGCATGAAATGCACTTTACCCCTGGAAATATCCAAGCAATTGCGATCACATCCCAATGTCCACGAAAACGCATATTAGTTGTGACAACGGCAGGATCCCGCACATTGGGTTACGTATCGTATACCGTCGTGCCTATACTGACCTGTTAGAATAATCAGATATCTTTTATTCTTTTGGTCAGCACACTAGACTTTAAATAAATGACAAATGTTATATGCGCCATTTTGACAACACTTTGTTGATTGTATTATCGTTACATTTGGGGTTTGCTAGCTAGCTAACGAACGTAAACACGTTTGCGTGGGCGGAACTGTACGATCCCCAGCTTGGATACAACCTCGTCCTCATGACGTCAAGCAACAAGCTTCTATTAGCTCAGAGCTCCCACTAGCTGGGAGTAGACCCTGGACATGAGGTCGGGGAGTCAGGTCGAAATGGTAACATAATTAACCGAGCCGAATTGTTATGGGTTATTAGGCCACAACATAAGAAAAGAATACAGGGTGAGTCAAAAGAAAGTGACCTGGATTAATTATTTGTGTTTCTAAAAAAGCAATAAAATTTGATACGCCAATAGGCCCCCCCCTATGTATGTCTTAAAAGAGCATGTTATTCCACTCATTTGAAAACAAAAGAAGAATTACTGAAATGAATGCATGCTATATGAAGTTATGCGGGGTTTACTAAAGGAACCTTTTAAAAAATTTTTTTTTATAGCTGTCCATTTTTATAGCTGAGTCAGAATTACATATTACATACAGACATTCAAATACAAAGTTTAAAGTTGGTATATACGTGTTTTTTTCCCAAAATTTCGATTTTCTTTTCCAATCGAAATTTAAAGGAATATTATGTCCTGTAACAAATATATTTGCTTGTTTGTTTTTAGGCCTTTGTACAGTTTTAAAAACTGGTTTTAAATGGCGCGCTCCAGTTCGAAAATTGCGCACACTATTCAGATCGAATTAGAGCGTCCCGCTTTTAATTCAAAAGTTGAAATTAATTGATTGATTACTTGTCGTGGGCCGTTTTTTTTTTCGTGCGATGTCTCATTGGAAAGCTCATAACTAATGTAATGCTAGAAAATTATCAATTCAATTTGAAAATCTATTTATCAAGGTGTCACACCCTAAAAGCACGTATACACCAACTTTAACGGTAAATGATCAGTGAATGACAGCTGAATTTTGTGATCGTTGTCATTAAAATAGAAATAACTTGGTAATAGAGTATGCAAATTGCGTTCGGCAAACTGGAAAAAAATACACGTATCCGCATATGTACATGTATCCGTGTGACGTCACACGTATACGCATAGGCCTACGTGTCGGGAATTCAGTTTCGGCATCGCGCGTTAGGACTTACACTAAATAATAAATGTGTTTCTGAAACAAAATGACCTACAATTTAAAATTAAGAGAACTTCTGAGGGCCCTAAAACATGTCTACCAACAAAAAGCCTCAGGGACCGTCTAGTAGTACGTTTCTGTATTGAACTCACACACACAACTATAGGCATAGTAGTACAGTACGTTGTACATGTACATGACATCACGCTTCGCTGGCCTCAAGCTTCCATTAACGCACAAACGATATGCATAAACCAGACAACTTTCATGTCTAAAAAATCCACGAAAATCCCTATAGGCCTACATATCCGCAACATTTAACCTATTATGTAGGCTACAATTTTTATTCGGGGACAAAAAAAGTGGGGGGGGGGGGGGGACCAAACAATATGATATCCCCCACTTTAAAAAGTGGGGGACTTGCCCCCCCCCGTCCCTCACCGATTGACGCCCATGCTATGATGTACTTTAATGCAAACTTGCGCGCTTACGTTAGGCCTAAAGCTTTTGTATTGTCTGATCGTTTTTCCGAAATCTATTTAATAAATTTACCGTTGGAAAGTTAAAAGATAACCTCAACATGGCTTTTCACAACGCTAATCGGGGGGGGGGGGGGGGGGGGGTTGATCCAATGGCCCGTCCCCCTCCTCGGTCAAGAAGGGGGTGTATCCTCCCCATCCCCCCACCCCGGATTTACACCCATGGTGCCACACGTGCACCCAAAAAGAACGAGACTCGAAAGCGCTCTGTCTTTGGTAGGCCTACAGAGGGCGTTAATCATTCTTCATAATCGGTCTTCTTTTGGACTGATTTCGTACCGCATATAAAAATCTACGGAAGCGTATTTAGGACATGACCGAAAATATTTTTTAGGCCCACTACTTACCATTTCCATTTCGCCCGGGCGGATTACCATTTCGCCCGGGCGGATTACTATTTCGCCCGGGCGGATTAGCATTTCGCCTGGGCGGATTACTATTCCGCCCGGGCGGATTACAATTCCGCCCATAATCGGTCTTCTTTTGGACTGATTTCGTACCACATATAAAAATCATTACAGATCGAAAACACCTATAAACATTACGGGTAACTTAAGTTATTACATATTAGCATTAAAGTGGGTACTTTTGGGGTGTGGCATCGTGTACAATAGCTTTTCAAATTGAATTGATAATTGTCTAGCATTAAATTTGTTATGAGCTTCCAAATGAGACATCGCACGACATCACAAATCGGCCCAAGACAATTAAACAATTAATTAAATTGAACTTTTGAATTAAGAGTGAGGTGCTCCTAATTTGTTCTGAACAGTGTGCACACTTTCTGAACTGAAGCGCGCCATTTAAAAACCACTTTTTTTAAACGGTGTATAAAGGCCTGAAAAAGCAAACGGTGTATAAAGGCCTGAAAAAGCAAACAACCACATTTATTTGTTATAGGGCATTAAATTCCTTTAAATTTCGTTCGGGAAAAAATTGAACTTTGGGGAAAGCACGTACATACCATCTTTAACCTGATTTTTTCCTATTATTGTAATACCTGATGACGTCACAATGACGTCACGGTAATATGTATTACTCTTTGTCTGGATGTTCAATCCAAGTTTCAAGTTTATGATATTAACCGTTTTGAAGAAAAGTAGCGAAATATATAATTTTATTGTCCAAATAATCCCCCAACTTATTATATTAAGCGCCCCAAAATGTTCCTAAAATACAAGCAAATTCATATTAATTCCAAACAGCTCAAAATGTAATCCGCCTGGGCGAAATAGTAATCCGCCCGGGCGAAAGAATAATCCGCCCGGGCGAAATAGTAATCCTCCCGGGCGAAATAGTAATCCGCCCGGGCGAAATAGAGGGCCTCAATTTTTTTTTTTTGCCCATGTCCTAAATACGCTTCCGTACAATTCCGTATTTTATACAGAACATTCACGCTACACCTGTCGGAATCAGCCGCATGCAGCCTCGTCCCCAGTGTTTACTTTACACTCTGGGGACGAGGTTGAGCCACATGTACTCCCATGGTGCAACACACATCCAACAAAATGGCGCCGAGTACAACGCGAACGCTGAGGTATGAGAAAGTTACTGTTTTGTGTTGGGCTATTTCACTGTCACGAAAAATTAAAACAACTGCGAATGGTCATTGATGTATATTTTAAATAAACACGTTGACATTTTTAGATTATTGATAAATTCGGAAAGAGTGCAGTATCCAGACACCACTTCAGCTGTCATGATGATCATGATGTAGCCCCATAAATGTGGACTGCCTCCGTAAACATAGGCCACATGTCCACCATGTACAAAAACATGTCGCACTTTGTCAAATTTTAATTTTCACATTTAGGGTTAGTTTATACTTAGTTTATTTTTGCTTTAGATACTCAAGCTAGGCGCTACAGGGGAAAAATCCAAGTGCGCCTCATTGGGGGCTGCGCCACGTTAGGGTACATCAACAATATGTGCAAAGTCAACAAAGTCTATGCAGAGTCAAGATTTTTTTTAAGTATTTCCTTTTTTAAGTATTTCCTAACAAAATTGGAAAGGTTTCTCACTCGATCCCAGATGCAAGTCTTTTCAACATTTGCAATGACTGACCTTTAGTGAGATGATATATGAATAAAAAAGTGGCGTCAGGTTGCAACATTCTTTCCATAAAACATCAGTGATGTTGAGTACTTCCAGGCGGCAGAAATGTAAGGTTTTTACAATTCTGGAAGTAGATGTTGAGGTAGGCTACTTAATTAGACATGTTAACTATAGCCGGCTTGTCATGCCTGTGTGCCTTGTGTTGTGCCGTGGTAGGGAGTCCAGCGGTAGGGCCATTTTTCGCCTGTCAACACTCTAAAACTATCTTTAAGATCTTTGATTTATAGTACATATACATAATATAAGGCCATGAGAATGAAAGTTTTAGATTTGCGTCCGAAAATTTTCCAGATGACAGAAGGCTTCTTTCATTTTTTTCTTCATTTTTCATTATTCATTATTTTAGTGAAAAATCTCCTGACCATCTTCTAAATCGTGGCGTTGGTGGATGCCGCCGTGGGCTGCGCCGCGATTTTAGAACATGACAGCGGGTCCGACATAGCAGACCACTATCAGATCCCATTCAATGTTAACAAATCTGACACACATCGCTCCACCCATCCAATTCATCTTAACAAAAATAAACATGATAAACATGCAATGAAATGTTCTCAATGTGATCCATCCAACAGTTTCAGGCAAATCAGTAAAATATTAGGTGAAAAAATCGATTGGAAATACTTAACACGATCATGAAAAAAATCAAGAACAATGCGTGCAGAAATGTACGTGGAACTTGCAATGAAAGTTTCCATTGGTTGACTCAGTGAGTGCCACAATCAAAGGACCAATCAGATCAAGCGATAGAAGCAGCGCTTGGCCTTGGTGAATGTCGAATGGAATGTGGGAAACCGAGGAAAAACCCAATGATGCGCATGCCATGGCACACAGAACATACACATGATGTACTGTGCTACAACGGGATTGACGATCGCGAAGTCGCGGTCTGGTCTTGGTCTCTAGCATGGCGTCAAAAATGCCTTATGTCTTCAAATTTCCAAAGCCTGTTGCTTAATAATTCTCTTTTAACACTACTTCTACGCATAAGCAAAATTTGAGGTATACCCCAAATTACTTTATTAATTAAACAGTAGGACAAACCTTCAGCTATTTCATCAAATTCATAGGTGGGTGCTTACATCTAAGGACGTGTTACATTGTCTTATCTAGATCCATAACCTATTTTCATGAAACTTGGTGTTGACTCCAGAGAGCTGACTGGTAATACATAGCAACCTATGAAAACGTAATGTTTTACCTGTCATGGTCTTGCTTTGTTTCATGTACACAGATGCAACCATGAGTTGTTACAAATCATCAGTGGCCGGTCAGCTGTGAAAGCACCAGTAAGTAACTCACAGTGCCCTAGATCTTATTGGTATTAGTGCCACTACTTGGGTGATTTTACCGCTGCAAAGCACTGTGGCAATTTGCAAGTCAAGTGTAACATAATATCTGTGGCTTTTCCTTCCCACAGTATTATTTGGACTTCAGCAAATTGGCTTATACATTAGTCACTGTTTCTGTTTTTTAAGGAATGAATGTTTAAAATTTCATTTTAAGATTGAACAAAGAAATTGACTGGAGGGTGTTTGAACCTGCGAAACCATGCTCCATTTAATTGCTTTGTTCAATCTGAAAATAATTATAATGCATCTAGTCAGTTTCCTTGTGTGGTTTTCTTGAATGTTTTTTTAATTACTTTAGTTTTTTTTAATTCGTTCAGGTAATTTTTTTTTATTTGTTAACCAAAGACTGAAAGTCTTCTGATATATGCCAAACTTTAGACAGTCCTGTAAATGTTCCTGATTGGCACAAACTGTGCTTCAAGCGAGCGTCTAGATCACTGCTTTGTAGTTTTTACAAGGCCGTAGGGTTGTCACTCCGAAAGGAGAAGGATACACGCCTTATCTTGAGAGTTATGCCAGGTTATCAACAAATGTTAAAGGGAAAATACAACATTTGCAAACATCAAAAAATAAAACTACCAAATCATTTTGAAATACCTTGCTGGACTGTTAGTGAATGACAGTGTAAAGCATCCTGTAAAATCATGGCACCTGGTATACTGTCATTTTCAAGAAAAGTGGTATTTTTGTATCAATTTCCAACGCTGATTCGGCCGACCAGCGTTGGAAAAAACTGGTTTTTTTTTCAAATACTGGCCCCAATTGACCATCGCACTTGTTTGCAATCGATTACACACCTATGAACGGGTACAAGCCAGCTAGACTGGTTCCCTGACCTTACAATTCCCCAATGTATGTAAACTGCTCTGTTTCTTCTTAAATGGAGTCAGGGAACCAGACTACAGGAAAATGATTGTTTTTCTTGGTTTTTATAGCATTTTTGACCCCAAAACCTCAAAAAAGTCAGTGTAACTATGTTTGCTATATATTTCCAACCCCCCAATTCCATCCATTTCTGAAAATTACAGCAAAAGCAAATGATGTTTATTCCCTTTAAACCATGTTAAGTTATAGTTTGACTCTGCTTTCAAGTTTTCTTGCTTTTATATATTTGTTTTGTATCATCTTGTTATAGAGCCTAATAGCAGAGGAGTTATCCACACATGAGTCACTATTTCTACATGGTCTGCAGTACTACAAGCAGCAAAGGTACAGCATGCATGCTAACATAGCCAACCCTATGCTATCCTGTATTCGCATGGATATGAAGTAGGGCAGGTGGTAAAATGGAATTATAATGCTTCACCCACAGATTCTGTCTCTTGATTGGCCGAAAGCACATCATATAGCATTTGCTATTTTCACTATCTTGCCATGCACAAACGACTATACAACGGTGCCTGGCTCAGACACAGTACTATACGCATAGAAAGCAATGTAGCAGCCAGAGGTCTGTGCGCAAATGCACATGGCTGTGCGAGTTGCGAGTATCATTCCCACACATGAGTTGGGTTCAAACATTGCATGGGGAGCTAGTTTAAAAAGTGCAAGTACATTTTCAACTAATTTCTATTGAAATAGAAACTTGTACATTGTGCAGTGTAATAGATTTTGGTTTTATAATTCAGATATCCCTAAAAACTGACAACTTTAACCAGGGTTCCAGGTTCACTTTTTTTTCACTAGCCAGCCAGTCTACTGAAACAGACTGTTAACTAGCCCGCGGGCATTTTCACTAGCCTGCATGTTTTTCGTTTATGAACAACAATGTGCATGCATGTAAAACTTGTATCCTGAGGCAATCTTGTCAGTGTTTTCAATAAACAGATCTAATAATTTAACCCTAAACAGTTATATATTAGACACAAATTGATACAGGTTTGCTTTCTGAATTTATTCTTCCTGTCCTTTCATCTTTGCCGCAGCCCAATAATTTTTGACTCGCCAGCCGGGCTACTTCAGGAATAGTTTGACTTGCCCGCCGCTGTTTGGACCAGCATTTGGCTAGCGGGCTGCCGCTAAAGTCGCACCCTGGCTTTAACTCATGATGAATTAAATAACAGGATGCTCCTTGGGTCACCTTGTGAGGCTAGTTGTATCACACCACTCATACAGCAGTCAATATTTGTATACTTGAACACTAAACTTGATAGGTGAAGTGTTTCAGACTAGAAGGGTTTCATTTTGTATTGTTGATTCATGGCAGTAAGGAAGCAGAAACCAAGTTGAAGGATGACAAGAATGTCAGCAAACTAGAGCTGCAGTTCCTGCAACAACTCGGCCAGTTCCTGGTAAGCTTCTAGGCAATGTTCTAATGGAGACTACTGCTTGTTCAAACTTGAGCCAGTCCCTTTCTCACTTCTTGATCAACTGACTTGCTTAGGCCAAAAAAAAGAAATTCTGCTTCGGATTACATGCCTTTCAAAAAAAGGGGTCGGTAGGTCGGAATTTTTTTTGGGCCAATTTTGTTTGTGCTGATTGAATGGGGTATTCAATTATATGCGAATTTCAGCCTGAACTATTTCCATTGAACTACGAAAGCTATACAAAAAAATGGCCTCAAAAAGTGATTAAAACTTACCTTAATTATTCTCAAAATATTTACGGTCAATAATTCATAAAAATAATGGAAAATTCGGGTGGTGCACACCATATGCACAATGTTAGTCAAGACGGGAAACTGGCCAACACTGTCCGTACATCTCACGGTATAAGCCTGAGTGATGCACTGTGTGTGGCGGGTGACGAACCTCAGTTTTACGATAGGAAATTTCGGGGAAACATGCTGCATCATATCACTTCAAAGTCCAAATACGAGTAGTACGACCTCGAAATATATTCATGAACACGGAAAATACATATACAGAAAAGAGAGATCAAGTTCTGTGAATTAACTTGCAAAAATGTTCTTTTTCCATCGGTGTTTACGTGGCATTTTTATGATATCTAATACGACTTGCAACTGCAGTGCACTGCGGCCATGTATAGACTGGTTACTGCATTTCCATCATGTCTTCTTTGGCCCTGAAGCTTGTAGTGCTCGGCGCAGCGGGAACCAGTCATCACTGCATTGAGCATTATGCACGTGTTTTCATATGGTCACGGCGACATTGAATTTGGAACTAGTTATCCCGAAGCAAACTTGTAAAAACAGCAGAGGTTTCTTCTAAAAAAATAGCGAATGTAAGTAGGCAAACAAATAAATACAAGCATTTTTTATGCAAAAGGGTTGTTGTGAGGTGTTTTGTGAAGACAGAAAAGACAGCGGGATTTTTAAAAAATGTATTCATTTATTATTATATATATATTTTTTTGAGTTGCCGATAAAATTTTAGGGTCGCGGCCTAAAAATAGGGTCGGTCGGGTAACCGGAAGCAGAGCTATTCTTTTTTGGGCCTTACAGTATACCAGAAAAATCATCTGCCCTTCACTTTTGTCTGTGATACCATAGAAACACAAATCCATCATTTTAAAAGTCTCTAAAATAAAAAGCATAGTATTGAGTTCATCTCAGAATCAATTTCACAAAACTCTAAGACACGTCTTAGGAAGGGTTACTTGTCGTAACTCGCGACTCGTCCTAGGATCGATTTCACCAAACTTAAAACGCATTCAACACGTCCTAACTTCCTTAGCAATGCAGCTGAACTCGTCTTAACTTAAAATTGGTCTGAGGGTCGTTTCATCTCATTAATGCGTGCGTTAATTTGTAATATCGTCTGGAAATCATTACAATATCTTCTCATTAAAGACAAATTTTCACCTAGAGTGATATTTTTGAGGAAGAAAACCACAGTAGAAACAGACCTGGAAAGATTTGTGATATGTGGGTAGTTTTAATAAAAATAAATTACTTACAAAATTTAATTATATGCCAAACAACTAGTCAACTTTTTAAAATAGAGTGATAAAATGGGGAGCAAGAATGACTCTATCACATCTTATGTAGAACTATCTTGGGTGTGAGATTTATTGAGTAGAGTAATTTTTCTGGCTAAAGTTCGTCTCCAATGTGCGCGCACAGGAAATTGGTTTTGCGTGTTTCTTTTCAACCACTGTTTTGTCAAGCTTTGAAAACAAACATGAAACAGTCATCGAATTGGTAGTTTTGATGCGTCTTGCTTAAGATGGGTTTAGTGAAATCAATCTTAGAACGTGTCTATCTTACAGGGGGGACTCGTCTTAAGTCCTAAGATGATTCACAAGATAAGACGAGTTTCGTGAAATCGGCCCCAGGAATAACAGTGCAGTGTAATTGTTAATTGGATACAATGTTGTGTACCTGCAGGACCTGGATGCAGTGCAGTGCAAGGATCTCTTTGAAGCCTATATCTTGAATGCTTTTAGGGGCACTGGTGCACAACTACAGGTGAGCAAAACTGTCGGGCATGCAAAGATACAGGTTGAAATAACGGTCAGACTTAAGACATTTCCTGACCATTCACCACATTTTTCCTATCAAAATCAGATATGCTCAGTCATTTTGCATGTGGTGCCCTAAAAGTGATTGTTTTAGATCACTTTGTTGGGGTAGTTTTTATGTGTAATTTCACAAACATTATGTGGAGTGAAGATGGCAAATAGCATTGAATGGCATTAACTGAACAGTGACTGAGGTGTCATCACAAGAATGCACTGTATTCACAGGGATCATTAACTCAAAAGTATGGACGTGTAAATGGTTAAATGTAAAAAAAAAATCAAAAAAAAAAAATCAAAATTTGTTTACCACTTTTTGCAAAACATTTGAATGGAAGCTAATTAAACAAAATGATGCCTTGTATCCACCCATCTGCCTTTAGTATTCAGGGGTGAGATTTGTCAGGATGCTTTCAGATTTAAGGATTTTTTGTCAGGATTCTCTTTCCTGATTTCAGGATTTTTGTAAGAATCCTCTTTGAAATGTAGAATTCCTGAGGTTTTACAATAAAGGTGTTTGTACATAAAAGGTTTTAAAGAACAAAAGAAATAGGTATTTTATGGAATGCCTTGAGGCAAATACAAACATATGCCATAGATCCTATGTTGCTCTGTGGCCCTCGGCAGCCCCAAATCCTCTGCCGATTATTTCGTGGATTTTTTCATTTATCCTCAATCTCACCCCTGAGTTTTCTTTATTAGCTAATGAGTGATATCTTTAAAGCTATTTGATTTAAAAAGCATAAGAAGCACCTTGATACGTCATGATCATGTTTACTGACGATATACACCTGGCACAAAAAGAAACTAAGCAGTTTTTATAATCATTCTTGTTTGGACATTTCTCGGTAAACAAGAAATCTGAAACATGTTTTGTCATGGAAACTTTCCGGTTCAATTTGATACCTAATTGGGAACACTGTGCAAGAAATAACGAGAGCGCAAGTGCCGAAACTCCTGAAACCCCAAAACCAAAAGTTGCAATTTGCGAGATTTTCAATGGGCATTACAACACACAATTGAATGCGGGGCCTACATAATTGCATGCAATTGTGTGTTGCAATGCCCAAGATATGTCCAAACAGGAATGATTATAAAAATTGCTTAGTTTCTTTTTGAGCCAGGTGTAGTGTCAGATATTGTAATGTATTGTGTTTAATGTTTTCAATGTTCAGTGCTTCTCCGACAAGACCCAACTCTTACGGGGACAAGAGGAATCTTATGAAAAATGCTGGCTAAATGTTTTGCTAATTGTGTACCAAATTAATTGTGGATTGCTATCCTTGCTCAGAAGTGTAATCTAATTTGATGTCTAGAATACATGAAACATGAAATATCCTGTTGACTGTAGACCATGTGCCCTGTGCCATCATGCCGACAGGCCGCCGGCCCATCCAAACATGTAAGCATCTTTTGCATGTTGTTTGGCCCACATATACATGTCTGTCTCTTCTCTGAGTCATCCAATGCCTTGAAGCATTGGTGAAGGCGACGACATCGCCCTACTGGAAGACTCACTGAAAGCCGCGCAAGACGTTTTGAAGAGAGTTGAGAAAGCCTGCCAGGATGTCGGCCTCTTTCTGAACTCGGAAAAGACAAAATATATGCACTTGAGAACCCATCAACGGTGGTGCTCCTTCATGCCCTTGACGGTTACCCAATCGCGCTTGTCGAGGATTTCAAGTATCTCGGCAGACTCACCAACTCTGCGCAAGGCATGAAGACATGCATAGGTCAAGCATTGGGTGCAATAAACGCCCTACACAAGATTTGGAAAGCACCAGTCAAAAAGGAGACAAAGACGAAAGTTTTCAAAGCCACAGTTGAAACCATCCTCCTCTATGGATCCGACTTGTGGACTCTGAACGTCTCCCTTCGGAAATCCTTCGATGGGAAATACACCAAAATGCTTCGCGCCATTTTCAATGTGTCATGGAAATCACACACAACAAACAAGAAACTGTACGGAAAACTTCCTCGCATCTCCTCCGTCATCAAGCGTCGCCGACTCGCTCTCGCAGGCAACGTTTCCCGCCAACGACGAACCCACAGCTAAGCTCCTGATATGGTCACCTGTGTCAAAGCATTGTGTCAGCCGACCACACATCACTCTGAAGACGCTCCTGGAGAAGGACACTGGGCTGGAGGGAAACAATCTACATGTATATGCTGTCGGCAATGAGGGACAGAGTAAGCTGGCAAACAGACTTTGTGAACACTCCACCACATATACATGAACTGTAGAGAAGAGAACCGTTTGCTAAAAGTTGGCATCACGTGACCACAACCGCTTTTTGTTGTAAACAAATGTCACATGGTCTGTAGCTAGTGTAAATTGTTGCACTTGCTGCTGTACAATATTTAAGACTGTTGGAAACATGTTACATTTGTGTTTATGTTGGTTTTTTTGTAGTCGATTCTGAAGGATGAGCGGAGTGTTCAAGCTTTGCTGCAGAAGGTAATGGTAAAACGTTGAATCTTTTTAGAACCAGAAACTTTAAGCTTTCCTTGTTTAGTTTTCTTTTTTTTTCTTTTAAGGGGGGGGGGGGGCTTTTTTTTTTAATTGATTAATTTTTAGTCATTGACTTTTTGATAAATGATTGAGAACTATCGATTATCAATCACTGACATTTGTGATATAAATGAGAAATTTAATGTTCTTATCATTTGTATTTTTTAATGTGACATTTGGTTGTTGATTGCTGTTAAAGAATGATCATTGATTCTTTGGATTGATTGATTACTGATTGGTTTGTTCAGGTATGGGAGTATTATTTCACAGAGCGAATGATGCTGCTTCATTGCATCAAACACCTGCTAAGCTTCCTCAGAGACTCAGATCATCCATTCCAGGTAAGAGGATCATCCTAGCACGATCCCTAATTGAAGGATCATCCTAGCACGATCCCTAATTGAAGGATCATCCTAGCATGATCCCTAATTGAAGGATCATCCTAGCATGATCCCTAATTGAAGGATCATCCTAGCACGATCCCTAATTGAAGGATCATCCTAGCACGATCCCTAATTGAAGGATCATCCTAGCACGATCCCTAATTGAAGGATCATCCTAGCATGATCCCTAATTGAAGGATCATCCCAGCATGATCCCTCATTGAAGGATCATCATCCTAGCATGATCCCTAATTGAAGGATCATCCTAGCATGATCCCTAATTGAAGGATCATCCTAGCACGATCCCTAATTGAAGGATCAGCCCAGCATGATCCCTAATTGAAGGATCATCCTAGCATGATCCCCAATTGAAGGATCATCCTAGCACGATCCCTAATTGAAGGATCAGCCCAGCATGATCCCTAATTGAAGGATCATCTTAGCACGATCCCTAATTGAAGGATCATCCCAGCATGATCCCTAAGTGAAGGATCATCCTAGTATGATCCCTCATTGAAAGAACATCCTAGCACGATCCCTGATTGAAGGATCATCCCAGCATGATCCCTAATTAAAGGATCATCCTAGCACGATCCCTAATTGAAGGATCATTCTAGCATGATCCCTAATTAAAGGATCATCCTAGCACGATCCCTAATCGAAGGATCATCCTAGCACGATCCCTAATTGAAGGATCATCCTAGCACGATCCCTAATTGTAGGATCATCCTAGCACGATCCCTAATTGAAGGATCATCCTAGCACAATCCCTAATTGTAGGATCATCCCAGCACGATCCCTAATTGAAGAATCATCCTAGCACGATCCCTCATCGAAGGATCATCCTAGCATGATCCCTAATTGAAGGATCATCCCAGCATGATCCCTAATTAAAGGATCATCCTAGCACGATCCCTCATCGAAGGATCATCCTAGCATGATCCCTAATTGTAGGATCATCCCAGCATGATCCCTAATTGAAGGATCATCCTAGCACGAACCCTAATTGAAGGATCATCCCAGCATGATCCCTCATTGAAGGATCATCCTAGCATGATCCCTAATTGAAGGATCATCCTAGCATGATCCCTCGTTGAAGGATCATCCTAGCACGATCCCTAATTGAAGGATCATCCTAGCACGATCCCTAATTGTAGGATCATCCCAGCACGATCCCTAATTGAAGAATCATCCTAGCACGATCCCTCATCGAAGGATCATCCTAGCATGATCCCTAATTGAAGGATCATCCCAGCATGATCCCTAATTGAAGGATCATCCTAGCACGATCCCTCATCGAAGGATCATCCTAGCATGATCCCTAATTGTAGGATCATCCCAGCATGATCCCTAATTGAAGGATCATCCTAGCACGATCCCTAATTGAAGGATCATCCCAGCATGATCCCTCATTGAAGGATCATCCTAGCATGATCCCTAATTGAAGGATCATCCTAGCACGATCCCTAATGGAAGGATCATCCTAGCACGATCCCTAATTGAAGGATCATCCTAGCATGATCCCTCGTTGGATCATCCTAGCATGATCCCTCGTTGAAGGATCATCCTAGCATGATCCCTTATTGAAGGATCATCCAAGCACGATCCCTAATTGAAGGATCAGCCCAGCATGATCCCTAAGTGAAGGATCATCCTAGCATGATCCCTAAGTGAAGGATCATCCTAGCATGATCCCTCATTGAAGGATCAGCCCAGCATGATCCCTAATTGAAGGATCATCCTAGCACGATCCCTAATTGTAGGATCATCCCAGCACGATCCCTAATTGAAGAATCATCCTAGCACGATCCCTCATCGAAGGATCATCCTAGCATGATCCCTAATTAAAGGATCATCCCAGCATGATCCCTAATTGAAGGATCATCTTAGCACGATCCCTCATCGAAGGATCATCCTAGCATGATCCCTAATTGTAGGATCATCCCAGCATGATCCCTAATTGAAGGATCATCCTAGCACGATCCCTAATTGAAGGATCATCCCAGCATGATCCCTCATTGAAGGATCATCCTAGCATGATCCCTAATTGAAGGATCATCCTAGCACGATCCCTAATTGAAGGATCATCCCAGCATGATCCCTCATTGAAGGATCATCCTAGCATGATCCCTAATTGAAGGATCATCCTAGCATGATCCCTCGTTGAAGGATCATCCTAGCACGATCCCTAATTGAAGGATCATCCTAGCACGATCCCTAATTGAAGGATCAGCCCAGCATGATCCCTAATTGAAGGATCATCCTAGCATGATCCCTCATTGAAGGATCAGCCCAGCATGATCCCTAATTGAAGGATCATCCTAGCACAATCCCTAATTGTAGGATCATCCCAGCACGATCCCTAATTGAAGAATCATCCTAGCACGATCCCTCATCGAAGGATCATCCTAGCATGATCCCTAATTGAAGGATCATCCCAGCATGATCCCTAATTGAAGAATCATCCTAGCACGATCCCTCATCGAAGGATCATCCTAGCATGATCCCTAATTGAAGGATCATCCCAGCTTGATCCCTAATTGAAGGATCATCCTAGCACGATCCCTCATCGAAGGATCATCCTAGCATGATCCCTAATTGTAGGATCATCCCAGCATGATCCCTAATTGAAGGATCATCCTAGCACGATCCCTAATTGAAGGATCATCCCAGCATGATCCCTCATTGAAGGATCATCCTAGCATGATCCCTAATTGAAGGATCATCCTAGCACGATCCCTAATTGAAGGATCATCCCAGCATGATCCCTAATTGAAGGATCATCCCAGCACGATCCCTCATCGAAGGATCATCCTAGCACGATCCCTAATTGTAGGATCATCCCAGCATGATCCCTAATTGAAGGATCATCCTAGCACGATCCCTAATTGAAGGATCATCCCAGCATGATCCCTCATTGAAGGATCATCCTAGCACGATCCCTAATTGAAGGATCATCCTAGCACGATCCCTAATTGAAGGATCATCCTAGCACGACCCCTAATTGAAGGATCATCCTAGCACGATCCCTAATTGAAGGATCATCCCAGCATGATCCCTAATTGAAGGATCATCCTAGCACGATCCCTAATTGAAGGATCATCCTAGCACGATCCCTAATTGAAGGATCAGCCCAGCATGATCCCTAATTGAAGGATCATCCTAGCATGATCCCTAATTGAAGGATCATCCTAGCATGATCCCTAAGTGAAGGATCATCCTAGCATGATCCCTCATTGAAAGATCATCCTAGCATCTGCTTCCGATTACAAAATAGGGTAGGTACATGTAGGTAGGGAATGTTTGGTTTTTTGGGGCAATTTTTGTGTGTGTGTGTATGATCATATGGCGGTGTCTGCGTGTAGTCGAGGGTAAAAGGTAATCATTGATGGTTTTCTGGTTTTTCTCCTCATTTTTCCAAAAACAAAATATTAGAGTAGGGGCTGTCAAAAAAGGGTAGGTAGGGTAACTGGAAGCAGAACTATATTTTTTTTGGCCTTATCAGAAAGAACAAAACATTCCAATAATATTCATTACAGTTGGAATTCTGAATCTTAACAATGTCACTCCTGTTAGTGCAGTGAAACAATAAACTACACTCCACCAAGACAGGACACTTTGGCCCAGCATGCTATTATGCTTACAAGGACTGTGAATATCACCTTATAAGTTGTGCACTGCCACCAATATGCACAAGAAGAGTGCAGACAGGATTTCCCAATACTCTGATCTATATTCAACCTATAATAGATCACCTTGAATATTGTCTTTGCCCAACATTTAAAAGAAGATAATAAAAAGTATCCACTTTAATTCTGGATATGGACAACAATACGTTTCAAAATGTTAAATTATGGCTACCAAAACTATGGCTACAGAAAATGTTTCAATGAAAGTATTTTTCATTGCCTACAGGAACAGTATCTGGAGTGCGTTTTAAATCTAGAGAAGTCCAAGGTGTATGATAAGTTACTACTGCAGTATGAGACCAGTTTCAACGCACCGGTACCTACTAGACAGAAGAGGGGTCCCTTAATGGTTGGTAAAAAGGCAATAGCCCATGTGGTCCAAATTTATCATAGAGATAGGGCTGAAGGGACAGTGGCTTTTATCTAAGTTATTATCTAAGTACAGTGGGTGAAATTAGACCCCAAAATTGTTCCGAAAAAAATATCAATTTTGAACTGTTGCAAGAATCAGCACATCCCTTATTTTTATTGGACAAATAAATATGGTAAATGGTCAGGAAATATTGTACATCAAATTGTTATTTCATTCCGCTCTGTCTGTTGCAAAAACAAACAAGGCCGCCTGAACATTTTACATCCCTTTCAAAGCGATCACAGATTTTGCAGTGTAGTTTTGAAATACTTCTTAATTCATTTGACATGTATCTTGATTGTAGTACTTTGACAAAACAGTCCCAATTGATTGGTCTTTAGAACAAACTCCAATTTGCGACATGTTTGCAAAACATGCACATGTCTCTCCTTTGTAGTGGTTCCTAGATCAACCTCAGCTATCATGACACTGTAAGACATAAATGGGGATTGCTGTCTTAGGAGGTAAACAAAACAAAACAAACGGCCAAAAATAGTGTTTATCCTCAGAATGTAGTGTTTCTGCCCTGAAATTGTGATCTCATTATTTGCTTGCATCTATGGCTGTTGTAGTTTTGTGTATTAAAAGTGACCTATGTGCATGCTTGCTGTAATTTTTCAAACCTGACAATCATATTTGCTTTCATTGGTTTCATTTGAAAATGAAGACTAATAGGTTCATTGTAATTGGTTGAATTGCATGTATTATGGGACCCCATTTCACGGCACTGCTTAGATAACTGTTAGCACAAACATTGAGCTAACTGTTACTGATAATTTTGCTGACCTAGTAGTACTATTTTACAGCATGGATGTGCTGACAGTTGCGTGCACGTGGAGATTTCATTAGTTACGTCCCCAATTTCAGAAAATAGGTCCCCTAAGGTTAGCATACCTTTTGCTGTGCTTACCATGAAATAAACGGAGGCTCTGTTAACAGAAAATTGTGTGCTTAGCAGCGCCATGAAACTGTGACCAGGTCTCTTACTGGTCTCTCTTTGTGTTACAGAGTGAGAGACATAGCATCCGATGGTGTCTACAGGCCCTCACAGAGCAGGTCAATATAACCTTTTTCATTGGATTTGGAATTCACACATAACAAGGTTACCATTGGAAGATCTAGAAGGAAGGTGGGCTAAGGTGGCTTAAGTCCACCCCTGACCTCTCTCCCCCCCCCCCCCCCGACTGACAAAACTGTGATTATTGAACCCTTACTTGATGAAAGCTGACTTTAAACATGTAGGCCCCCCCCCCCCATGATTTCATGATCCATCCAACGTTACAAGTAGCGCATTTTTAGGGGGAGGGCAATTAACAGAAAATCCAATCATTTTGGGGGCAACCTTGCAACTATTTAAAAGGTTCCACATATAGAAACAATGAGTGCCCAGGTTTTTAAAGTAGGACCAGCAATTGTGAGGGGCTTGTCATATATTCTATGTTATGAGTTCTTTCCATAATAATACCACATCAAGGTTATCTATTAGTATTATACCAACTTGTAAATCATGGAAGGAATCAGCAGCATTGTGCACCTCTACTTGTCATCCAGCGGTGGCAGGTTGGAATCCTCATCTCATTCATTTTTGAGGACTGTGCTGTATCCATCTGGATCCAGCTATGTATGAAGTATGAAGCCTGCTGAATCCAACACAATATATAACAGCTGGAACCAAACACTACTTGTTTACACCTTACAAAATCTAACACAAAAATTGGCATTGTAACTTTTGGGGTTCTGCAAGATAACACTGTTTTTTATAGTTTGATTTTACTTCTTTTTTTTCATCAGTGTGAGCTGCTGGAAATTATTCTCCTGTACGTTCGAGGTCAAGAAGATCCATCTGAAAATCTCCTGAATCTGGCTCAACTTTTCCAGGTTTTTTCAAATTATCCGTCTAACTGTGTTTGGCTGGTAGCTTGTCTTTTGGGTTGTTTTTTCCTTGTAACAATGATTCAACCTCATTGAGAAAATCAGTCCCATATTTGTTTATCATGGATTTTTGCCATGAAGCTTCAGGAATTCCTTAATTCATTACTGTGCAGTAGAGCCAACGGCTTCTTCTTTGTACATATTCAAAATATGGACATCGTTTTAACAAGTTCTTTGAAATAAAGTGACTGGGTATAACAGCCCTGAGTCCAATGGATTTAGGATAATTAGGGGAGCATGGTGACAGATTTTCGAAGGTTTCAGATGTAGTTATGCAAAATGCAATGCTTTAAAAATCAATATGAAGATCTTGAGGATGGCAAGGAGAGCATAAAAGATAATATTCACTGGCGGTTGTTAGAAAAAAAAGACGATAATGCCAATTTTTTTCCCACCTATGTTAGTGGAGTTGTCCAGGAATTTTTGCTTTGAATTAATCAAGTAAGAAATGAATTTCTTTGTTGACAAGTCAGTAACTCTAACCATAATTCAGGCCTTTTAATTTTATGGAAGCACTGAACATTTTTCACATCGTAAAATTTCGTTTGGATCTTAAATAAAACAGGAGGTGGTGTCCAGAAATTGGGCACAAAGTTTATTGTACACACATGTACGTATGTGTAACTGCGATGTGGTCCAAATTTTGGACACGGATTTTTGTACAGCCTATTTTCCGATTTTTCCCCATAAGCCAGTTTCATCTCTGTGTTTTAAAAAAGGTCGAAATTTTGCTAAACTATGTGTGGAAAAGATTGATTGAAATCCACTTCAACCCAATTTTTGATGTGATTTGTTCATTCTGTTACCAGTATGGTTTATTCTCATGGCTTGTGATATTCTTTTTGGTTTTAGAAACAAGCTTTTGGGACTCGTCAGCCCTACAGGCATCTATTGGATGCTGAGGAGTCTGCTCATCACCTGACAGCTCGCATCAGGTCAGAAAAGTGTACTTTCCAATACATCTTTCCTTTGCTAAATCACAGTGGTACTTTGATGCCAACTTGTAGTTTGCAAACTTTGGTTAAAGCAACAAACAAAATTGCAGAGGACTATAAGAAGGTATCATTCAACTGTCCATAAACAGTGAAGAATCAACACAAAATAAAACGGTAAACAAAATACAAACAAACTCCCTTGTATATTGAGGGAGTAAATGTGCAACTTTGATCACAAGCTGTTATTATTCCCGGTAACAAATTATCAAACTGATGGTCACCTTTACATAATGGCACTTAAAGTTTGCAAACAAAACAAAGTTCAGCGGAATGACCAGGGACCAATTTCATTTCGCGAGCAGAAACATTGGGCTAACTAGAGCAGTCTCCCTCAAACCAATAATGCCCAGGAGAAATGAAAATGAACAGCTGCTATTCAAGGAAGGTTTCTAACCTGAGATTCCTAACATGTTACATTGGTTTGTGTTCTCAGCTTCCTTTGTAGCATGCTACTGGTTGAATCCATGAATCTGGACCCATTAATAGGCCTACCAGCTTCAGACAAGTGAGTATTACCTCCCTGGTCAAACAGATAATCTATTTGAAAATGTGAACCTCTTTTCACAACTATGTTTCAAAGCTTAAACCCACTGTCTTTTTGGATGGAGTGCTGTGCTGGAGGGACCATACTATAGGTATGTTAGGAGAGAATGTGAAATGAAGCAGGTGGTACCTCAAGGTTCAACCTTTAGATACCACCTGCTTCATGTCACATTCTCTCCTTACAACACACAGAAAGGGGTTTAGTTTACTCTGATGGTTCACGGCACAGAGTGCACCTTCATAGATCTCCAATGCCACAGACCATCAAATAATCAGCTTGTAGCTTACACAAAAAAAGTTGTCCCTATAAAATCTCAGAAAATACTCGTGCTTGTGCAGTGACTAAATAGCAACAGAAATCAATATCTCACTGGGCATATATATATATATCACCAGTATTAACCTTGCTCACCGAGTGTGCTTATTGTCAAAGGGTCTGCACATGCAACATTTGTGAGTGGTCAAGAAGTGCCCTCTACTATTCATGTCTGAATATATCCAAGTTGATTCAATTAGCTGCTTCTAAGAATCAAAATTGTATGGAAAAATCCTTGCACTGTACAATAAGCAAATGTGACATCACGGCAACAGTGCCCTCTTGGGTCAGGAAATAGAATGGATTTTGTGAGTAATGTACATGAAAATGATTAAAGCAAACAAATGTGTAGAATTATGTTCATACACCTCAGAGGCATTAGTACTTTCATAAAATACACATCAACAAAAGGACAACAGTGGAAAATGGACTAGAAGCACTGTTAATCACTACAAGGTTAAGCAATGATATTCAGCAGAGCAACTTGTTCAGTCCATTTCAAGTGATAGTGTGAAAGTCCTTGAACAACATGTTTAATACACTGGTTTGCTTATGTGGGGATCATTGTTTATGATGTACTGGGCTTTTGTGTTTACTCTCTCTCTTTCACAGACCATCAAGTCACCGTCTTGCATCAAATGAAAAGCTAGTAGGGGTACGTACACTCAAAGTTAGATGTCACAAAGGATATGGGCTACCTTATCCCAGAAAATGGATTACTTACTCAAACTAGAGCCCTATACCCATATAGATTTCACAAATTAATTGTCTGCTGAACTGCATAGAAACTCCTTACAGTGTTTCAGACTTGACTCTTTATATTCAATGACAAAAACAACAAGGTACCGAACATGCCATGATCTCTAGTATCCGTGAAATGTACTGTTAATGATAATGACAGTAAGTATATCTCAATATTTTGAAAAGAGATAAATGGTCATCAGCATTCATGAATAGGGCAAGAGGTATAAGCCAATCAACACACACTTTTTTTCATAAGATGGAATTTGCGTCGAGCTGAGGTAAATTCAATATTGGGTTTTCGCTCTTCACTGATGTATTTTATTAACATTGAGTAAACAGTGATAATAAAAATATGTCGGTGAAGGGCAGAACCAAATATTGAACACATTCATTTATCAGCTGATAATTGTGATTTTGTCGACAAAGTTGTGTGTTTAGCCAATGGGCGGTAGTAATCAGTGGTACGCGCATGTATGACGTAGTCACTTACGAACCAGATAGAGACTTGAAGCAAGGTCACTTAAAGGAGGAAGACAAGGAAGAAACTACAGTGCCACTTTGACTTCCCTTGAAAACATCTCCATTCAATTGACCCTGATTTTCCCTTTTTCTTATTGCCTGTTTTTTTTGTGTGCAGGAGCTGTCCTCAATCATTCAGAATCTAGGGTCTCAGCCATCGCATGGCCCTGTTCTCATTGCCTGGCTGGTGCTACATGGCACCCTCTGGCCTGAGGCAGACATGACTGGGGTCCGTAGGCTTGGCCAGCAGGCTGTACAGCTGCAGGTGTTCTGCTACATCTCTAGCCAATTGAGAACCCTCTCCACGGAAAAGAAATCCGTAAGTTTACACAGGATTGTAAAGGAAGACTGTGTAGTGACAGATATGAAATTGTAGCCAAATAGCTATGATTGTCCTTGTCCAAGAGGTTTAAAATATTTAACTGTTAGGCCCAAAAAAAAAAGTCTCCGGTTTCTGGTATGGAGCTTGTCCCAAAAGTGGTGCGGCGACGCGGCTTTTTTTTTTTTTTTACCTGTTTTTTTTTTTTTTTTTTGCTTCAAATGTCGGCTGATGACTGCAAATGGTGCCCGACTAAACTTTGTGCAAATATATGGGAGTCCAGAGAGGCCACATAAAGCTTATTCTCGATCATAACCCCATCTAAAAACACGTTAAAATTGTGCAGCAGCAGAATTCCAGTCAAACCAGTGAGTTTGGCGGTTTTGAGACATCATCTTGTATTGAAAAAAAAACTTTTTCATTTTGCCGACGCGCATAGCTGCGGCGACGCGCGCGCATACCAGAAACCGGAGACTTTTTTTTTTGGCCTCATGCAGCTACCCTGGGTTTTGTGAAATTGATTGTCAGTATGCTGATCGCAGATGGCATAACTTATGCACTGTATTCCTGAGATCAGCTGCCACTGTTTGCTCCACACACCACGTTTGATTTCTAAACTAGAACTGCCATTTGAAAGATGTTCTGTCCTTACTCTTAATAATATGTCATTATTTTCCTCCAAACAAATGTTAACCTCTGACTCTTTTATTTTAACAATAACTATGGGTTGCTTGTGCCCCAAAACAGACCCACCCTGCGATTAGACACATTCCGGGCCCCCACAATATCAATTTTAGAAAGGGAGGTAGGAACCAGTCTACCCTGCAAGAACTGAGTTATTGTCAGGCCCCAAATAACATGAAATTTGTAAAGTAATTATTCCATAACTAAGTAACTGAAAGTCAGCCAATTTTTTGTTAGTTGATGTCTCATTTAAAAGTGAATAACTTGTATATCGCCAGAAGAAAAATTGGGGTGAAACTCCAATATCATGGACAGAACATCTTTAGGAAAGCACAAGGTTTCTGAAAATTGTCACAGAGAGTGGGCAATGTGGATTCTGTCATAAGCTAAATACATCATTTTATTTTGAAAAGTTGTCTTATGAGAGGTAAGAACATTCATGTGGCGTGCGGTGTGTGTGCTTTCTTGCTACTCTACTTGAAAGTATAAAAATGCAAAAAAGAACCAAGAAAAAAACAAGCCTTTTGGTTTCTAGTACTGAGCTGAGCAACCCATTGTTTTGTCTCCATCTCTGGCTGCAGCTCCATTGCCAAACTGTATACCTCAAGCCGGAGATGAAGATGGAGCCAGGGTTTAAGAAACGGCATGAGACTGATGGAATAAGCCATGTCTGCAGAGTGTGCATTCAGATGCGTGGCTACCCCTCCTTTCCCTTCCCCATCCCCTCCCCACCCCTTGGGCTGTGGTTTAACCCATTATGTTGCATCTGGCAACTGTTGACCTTTGTGACCTTGAAAATGACTTTCAGTTCATCAGCCCGGTGTGTCATGTTATTATGTGCCCTCCTGATATTTTCTCAACTATCCTCCTATGGCTATATTTGAATATCCTGGCTATGGCCAGAAATATAACACGCACCTATGGCTGACGCTGAAACCACCTCCCACATACATGTGTGTTACTTCAAGCCCTAGCTAAGTAATTCAAAAGAAGTTTTCAGGTGACTAGCCTGATGTGTTACAATGCCATAATGTATTTCCTGATATGTAACTCAATTATTCTCCAGGTCATTAGTCTGATGTGTCATGTCATCGTATACACCCTGCTGACGTTAGTGTTGACCCTGTTTCGTGAGGACACACTTGGTACACGGGATGTAAGTATCACAACTGACTCCAGTATTCAACCACATAAGGTGGTGAGAAATAAAAAACTGGGTTTTTGCCCTCGTCTGGTAAATATGTGTTAGCACTGTGCTGACCAAGAGTAGTAACTGAAACCTATGACCTGCGTACTGGTGCAGATGTCTGAGCTGGATCACCAAGCCTGACAGTATCAGCTAGCTGGTTCAGATCTGATAGTGCTGCATTCTAAGGGACCGTGACCATTCAGCCCTGGTATGAAAAGGGCCCCCCGGTACCTCGTCCGGTCCAGAGCCAGTCCGGTCTTCAGCCCAGTCTCGTCCGGTACATGGTCCTGTCTGACCAGAAGTTTTGAAGTCAGTCAGGCGCATCAATTTATTGCCCTTCAGAGAACGTCCAGAGCAGAACAATAGCAGATTTACCGGATTAAAGATAAAATCCTTCCAAACGCCTTTTTAATTTACGGTCCCATTGTGCGCGAAACCGCATGGCAGGGGTTTTGATCTGTGCCGACGGAAGTGTTCTATTGTTTCGCGCTGAGAGATGAAAACCACAAGCAGGTTTCTTCCGGGATATATTACAGGTGTCCATACTTGCAAACAATATACCCCAGGATAGAGGAGTTCCTGATTAGCAACCGGACCAGCTCCTGGGCCGGTAGCTGGGACGGTACGAAAGGACTTCTTGGGAGGGGACGAGCTTACCGGGGGGCCCTTTTCATGCCGGGGCTGAATGGTCAAGGTCCCTAATGGGTACTGGGTCCAACTCAGTACGATACTACTTGGTTTTCGCATTATTATCTGAAGAAATAGTTCCAGGGATATTGATTATTTTGAAGTACATTTTTACATTCCTAAGACAATTCCTCTTGGCAATTAATGGCTAGGGGGGGGGGGGGTGCCACAGATGACTGAAATGACGACCAAAGTTTACATTTGGAAGATTGTCTTTATCAATTCATTAGATTATACTTCTCTAGATTTGAGAGTGATTATAATATACTTAGAGTCCATATGTAGGCTAGAATTCTGCCTAACTATGCTTGTAATGTATTTCTGTCAGGTCTGAGACTACACTGAGCATACAGATTGCACTGTGTGTACAGTGCTTATAAATGTGCATTGGTGGAAGGCAAAACCCAACTTTAAAAGTTTGGCTAGTTACACGTACAGTGAAACAAGATAACACTTCATCTGCAGTTTACCTATATGTTGAAGTAACATTGTGAAATTTGTGTCTCAGTATCACAGATTGATCCTACTCCGTAGGCCAAAATATGAGAACCATATTAAAAAGGGATGCCCTTAGAATGAGAGAGAAGTATGATGGTTTTACTACATCGTATTCTAGACTTTGAAAGGAGGAAGTGGAAGTGTGGAGTGCCGTGGCCTCATGGTCTGGGGCGTTAAATTTGTGGTCTGCGGGTAATTCTGCAGGTTGTAGGTTTGAGTCCAGCCTGCGGTTATGGTGCGTATGCCCTTGGGCAAGGCACTTTGTCACTCATTGCTTCTCCCCACCCAGGAGTAAATGGGTATCTGTGAGGGCAGAGATGGTTATTGTGATTGATGATTGTAGCTACCTTGCGCTGAAATGGCAGCATGGAGATATATACTCCCCAGGGAGCTGAGATTGTATTTGGAATGTTTCATTGGCCCAATGAGCAGGGTAATAATGATGTAAAGCGCTTTCATCTTAGTTAAAAGCGCTGTATAAGAACCTGTCATTGTTTAAGCAGTGTTGACTGAAGAACTCTTGCCATGCTGCTTGGTATGGATAACATACTTATCATTCTTAACAGGTGTTAAGAATGACAGTGAATATACATGATTAGCTATGGCTGCTTTTGAAGCATCATGTGAAGTGGATTCTGCCACTCCCATAGACACATGTGTAATTGTCAGATGTAGCCAAGTAGTTTGGATGTGACGTGTGTTTTGCACTGCTGAGTGGTAATTCTGCACAGCAGTCATACTCCCTGGGGCACTGAGTTGTGAACCTGGTGAGCAGGGGTAAGAGATAAATCTATAGTAGTTACATGGATTTTTGTACAGTACATTTCAAAGCCTTCTGGGATCAACTTTTCATTGTTTTCAATCATAGAGAAATGGTTCAGTGTGTCAAGTCAAAATGCTTTATGAACTGTTTTAGTTTTTGTAACCATTTGACATGACTTCTTTCTGTAGGACTTGATACATTTAGCCTGCCAGCTTCTCAAGCAACCTCAGCTATGCCAGGAGTTCTGGGACAATGTAAGTTGACCTAATTGTCCAAAATTCTCTCAAAATCTGTCCATGTAAAGATTTGTAATCAGTGAAAATGGGCCATGAATTAGTGCTTGAAAACATTTTAAGAAATCGTACTAATCCTTCAATATTTGGTTTTCCCTCCACCAATATCATGTCATAAACACTGTATATTCAGTGTTGTCCAAGGGCTTGCAAGAAAACCTTCACAAGCTCACTTCGGTTGGACTCAAACCCACAACCTACGTGTACTGCTTACTTATGCCAACATTTTAATGGTTGGCTGGCTGGTTCAAAACTGATAAAAGCGTGGTTACCTCTATCTGTTACTATTATTAATAGGATGTAATGTTACATCTTGGAGATGTAAATTCAATATTAGGTATTGCCCTTAACCAACGATCTACGCTGCTAGCTGTAAAATTGACGCCAATGAAGAGCAAAGCCTAATATTAAATTCACATCTGTCAGCCACAAAATTCATCATACAAAAAATACCAATCTTTCATTCTCACTTGTGGTTAATTTCCACTAAACAATACTTTGTTGGTATTTTCTTTGTTCACATTATTTTCGTGAGGTATTTTGCAGTTATTTTTAAAGAAAATAACTGTGTTCAGTATAACAGTGTGAACTGTAATCAAAATTACTGTCACAATGCGAGTTCATTTTAATATGCAAGATTTGCAGAAGAATGCTTGAGAAGAATCAGGCAATATGCCTTGTTAGAAAATGCAATATGAGACTTGGATTGGTTGATGTGTATCCCACACTTTCCTGGAATTGAAAGCAGTTTGGTGGTACAGTGCTAACTATAAAGGAAAACTTGGACTGAGATGAACCAGATGTGGAAACCAAAGGAGTTCTTCTCAGAACCACTGAATTGTAAGAGTTAGTCCCTTCACTTGGTTTATCCGCAAACCTCTCCCAAGATGTTAGCAAACTTATGAGTTGAGACTTATTTTAAGACATATTTTTCATCTCCTTCTTGTTCTCTAATTAGGACATAGAGGGCGGTATATTCTCCCTTCTTCACTCTTCCACAAACAGCTTTCCACTGGACTTTAATCCACTGCTGCAACTGCTGACTCCACTGACAAGTGAGGGCAGCAAACAGGTAATGAGTAACACCACCATGAACTAGCTGTTGGAGGAGTACTAGGTTGTGATTAGTCTGAGGATCAGACATTCACGTGTGCAGAGCCGCACTATGAACATCTGATATATCCCAACATGCCAATTGTATTCCACCCCATGCGCCAGCCAATCGGAGTCGAGAAAGTGTGATGTCATTTTGATCAGAAATGTGGACTAAGCTGTTGATTGGTCAATTGGCTGCCATGTTTTTATAATACAACAACGGGTTATCAAAGACCCGATAGAAGGTGCCCGCTGAATGGTTAGAATCTGGAGGTCAAGAAGCAGTCTTGTTTTGCATTATTAATCGCCAAATCTGCACAAATATCATCTAGATGCTTGTGTGCAAGCATATATTCCATAGATAAGGTTGTGATAGCCATTTGTAGAAAAAAGAATATATGGTCATGAAAATTCAGTACATCTCAAGATTTTCAATAAGATAAATGAACGACCTTCTCTAACCCCAGCGACATTTTTGAGTATGAGAAATTGTGATCAAAGTCTCCCACATTGAAAAACATTTTGAGTCCCTATATGTGGAATTCCATTATCTTACATTGGAGTCCCTATATGTGGAATTTCATTATCTCCCTTATTTGTTGCTAGCAGTGATGTTGGAGTGTAAGGAATAACCAAAAAGATGCACATCTTTAGATTTTAATAAATGAATAAACAATCTTCTATTAGTCTTATGCTATTTCTTACTGAGTTTGAGAAATTGAGAAAAAATCCCAAACATTGGGGAACTTGGGGTACATTCCACTTTTTACGTGAACTACACAATCGTTGCCAACGATTTTCCAATGACTTTGCAAGTGGAACGCACCCAGGTCAAGTTTGTGGGCTACCTGTAATACTGCTAAAGATTCTATTTAAGCCCTGCGGTTGAAGTTTAAGGGACATGTATACAGTTTCTGTCCCGTCCTTCATATGTTATGCATCTTTCTCTGTCAACATGAGAAACCTAAAGATTTGAAGTTAAAAACATTTAATTTCAGGCAGAAGTCCAAACTTGAATTTAGCTTTGTCAATAACCCAAATTTAAACCAGGACTCCAGCATAATGTATCATCTGCTCAGCAAGTCAGGAATTACAAAAATTGTTTATGATTCCAAGACCATGTTATTACAAAAGGTGATTTGGAATCCAGAACCAAGTCTACTCTGCTCAAGTCAAATCCATACTTTGTACCTGTTTATTTTTATTTGTTACTGTTGCAGTCTTGGACTCGCATCAAAGACTCAACTCCAATACTTACTGTCAACTTAATGCAAGTCTATTGCCTGGGTAATTGTACAGGTGTTTGCCTTCCTGGAACATCTGCCAACCTTCACTGAGCCATTGGACAATAACCGATCAGTGGACCTGCAGAGCACCAATCAGAAAGGAGTCTGGAAGTTGATGCAGGACAAGATTCTCCTACCAGAAGGTTAGACTTTGGACTTTGACTCCTATAATATGCACCATGGGTTTTGGAGGATTTTGTAAGATGTAAGAAGGTACTAATAGACACCATTATTTGACATTGGCTGCATGCTTTTTGTGAACTTCTGAACAGACGAAAGTTGGTTCCTTAAAATTGGGAATGCTACCAACTTGTCATTCCCAGACATTGCTGACAAAACAAGCCTTGTTGAGGTTTATTTAGCTTTAAAATGCGTGAAACCGAAAATCCCCTGGTGTTAGAATTACTAGAAAAATCTACAGTCACACTGGTTCTGATACGTTGGCATATCTCCATTACGTCATCCATACCTTGTGGAGGATTTGTAAAATCTCTGAGTGCTGGAAGCATGCCGCCATTGTGACCATCTATAAGAGGAAAGGGGATAGAGCTGTTTGTGACCACATCCTTGATATATCACTGCTTAATGTTGCTTGAATGATACTCACCAATTTGTATGGTATTTCCAGCACTTTGCTGACAGCATTCTGCCGAAAACTCATTGGGGTTTCTGAGCTGATGGCAGCATGATTGACACGATCTTTGTGTATCACCTCCTCAAAAAATGTTGTGAGCAGCAAGGGAGGATATGCTTTGCCTTCATTCATCTGAAAAGGCATTTGATAAATTCTAGATATGTTATGGGCTATCCTCTAGAGGTTTGCATACAAGCCAAGATCACAATGAATGTTGAGGAGTCAGAAGCCTTTGAGGTCTCGATTGGAGTCAGGTAGGGTTGGGTTATTATCCCAGTCTGGCTCATCATGCACCTTGTTGCTGTCTTCTTTGTGTGGTGCACTTCAGCTTGACTCGGGCAGAATCTGATACTGCCTTGACAGTAGTCTTTCCAATCTCGGAGGATTGAAGGCAACCATGCTGACCTCAAACACCATTGTCTTTGGGCTTCAGTTTGCTGACTCCACAGCAGTTACCCACCTACATGTACTGTCAGACCTTCAAGCAATCATCAATGCCATGTCTATGGTGTCTCACAGACGTAGCCTGCTTGTCAGTCCAACACCACTCTGAGTAGGAGAGGAAGATAGGAGTTAGCCATCACCATTCCAATGGGCCAACATCATGCAATGCAATAGACTTTTTCAGGGGTATGAACATTGCATAATTTGTGGCACTCCCCCTAGAAAATGTCTGCCCTCGGAAGAAAGAAGTATCGTCTATTTGTCACATGCACAAGCTGCCAAAAACTGCATCACCTCACTAATGTAACCCAGGACCAGACACCAGAAACTTATTTTATGCGTCTGATTATAACTTTGTACCTAGTCATCTTTGTATAACGATGTGATTCTTTCATTGTTATGTAGGTGATCATTGTCAAGGATTCATCATACCAGCAGGTTCCCTGGGTTCCCAGCTCCAGAGAAACAGGGGTGAGTTACACTGAATTAAACCATTGCTATGACGTCACACTATTGTTAAAAGTGTGGATTCGGAACTACGAATCTGTTACACTGGTCACAAAGTGTGGATTCGGAACAACGAATCTGTTACACTGGTCACAAAGTGTGGATTCGGAACAACGAATCTGTTACACTGGTCACAAAGTGTGGATTCAGAACGACGAATCTGTTACACTGGTCACAAAGTGTGGATTCGGAACAACAAATCTGTTACACTGGTCACAAAGTGTGGATTCGGAACAACAAATCTGTTACACTGGTCACAAAGTGTGGATTCGGAACGACGAATATTTAGTAAAGTGTGGATCCAGAATTATGAATCCACACTTTGAACAATGTACTTTAAAAAAAATATACAACTGTGTATAGACCTCATCAAACTTATCACACGTTAAATTTTATTCTTTTTTTAACGCATTCTAAATACATTTTAAACATTTTGCAAATCGTCGTCTCAACTATTCATGTTGACGTTAAGGAGTCTACACACAAAGGTACTTGGTTGTACGGGTGTGGCTATACGCATTCTAACAGAAACATGCCACAATGCAAATTTCCTTTACACAAAGCTTGATTACATAAGGGCCTTGAATAACTCCCTTAAATGTAAATTACGCCTAATTAAATGGCCACAGTACAAGATATGCAAGTCTTTTCATCTCCACTCAACTGGACCATTAATGACAATGCTTCTTTTGACGCAATGGTTTAAGTCAGAGAATACACTCGCAAGTGTGGATTCTTAATTTACGAATTCACTCGGCTCTTTGCACCTCATAAATTCTTAAATTATGAATCCACACATTCTTGTGTAATCTCATGAAATAAAACAACCCACCTTTTGTTTGTGGAAGGTTACAAGAAATTTCATTTTTCCCAAGATAGGAGCACTTTAAATTCTTGTTGTGTTACAGCCACTTCACTTTTGTGCACCTTGTTTCAAATTTCTAGAGTAAGTCTTATAAATTCATATTCTGTGGCACAGACTTACCTTCAGTTCAAATGTCTGATGACTTAAACTGTGAATTAATCAAGGGACGCAAGACTCTGACTGGAACCAAGCAACTCATACCTCAAATTTACACATGAAGCAAGTTTGTTTAAAGTAATGGAAAGAGGTAATCAGACTTGATTCAAACAATTCCATAACCAAACTCAAATTGAAACAAGAATAATTGAAACTGAGCCTGCAACCAAGTGACTTAAGGTTTACACTCAGACTTGAACCAACTCGTACTTGAGACTTGAGCTGAGTAATTCAACGCATGACATTCAGACTTGAAACAAGAAAACTTGTAATTAAATGAGTGATTTGAAACTTGGACTCATAACTAAATTCAAACTGGTATTAGAAGATTCAATTACAATTCTGTTAGGTGCCTTACCGATTGATCCAAAGCATCCCTCACCATTGCAGTCGGAGGGATTCCACATACTTTTTAATCCCACATGAGCATGCTGAAATTTCAAATTTGCTTCTTGAATTTGGAAACTAGATTATTCGTTACGTTAAGAGCTTTCTGACATGCCTAACCAGAGATACAGATGTCCATCGTTAAAGTGACAAATCCTAAGGTCTAAAGTCCATCAACCAGTAATTTAACAAACCTCACAACCTAACACATTCAAGGTTGGGTTTTGGAGTGTCATCATATCACGACATATTTTTTTTATAAATTTGAAGGAAACTACAGGAGATTAACCTCCTGAAGGTGTGATGTATTGACAGTGGATGACCAAATATTTCCTAAACATCAGAAAGCTGCCTCACCAGATGCCATCAATAGCACAAATGTTTGCATGATTGTAATTAGATTGACAGGATGCTGTATTCATTAGTTCTCCACACCTTATGTTTCTTCATGTGCATTTTTGACCAACAGCAATCAAAATGACACTAGCTCATTAATTGAGATGCGCCTGGGTGCACTCGACCCTCCAGTCTGTCCATTGTAGCTCATTAATTGAGATGCGCCTGGGTGCACTCGACCCTCCAGTCTGTCCATTGTAGCTCATTAATTGAGATGCGCCTGGGTGCACTCGACCCTCCAGTCTGTCCATTGTAGCTCATTAATTGAGATGCGCCTGGGTGTACTCGACCCTCCAGTCTGTCCATTGTAGCTCATTAATTGAGATGCGCCTGGGTGCACTCGACCCTCCAGTCTGTCCATTGTAGCTCATTAATTGAGATGCCCCTCGGTGCACTCGACCCTCCAGTCTGTTCATTGTAGCTCATTAATTGAGATGCGCCTGGGTGCACTCGACCCTCCAGTCTGTCCATTGTAGCTCATTAATTGAGATGCGCCTGGGTGCACTCGACCCTCCAGTCTGTCCATTGTAGCTCATTAATTGAGATGCGCCTGGGTTCACTCGACCCTCCAGTCTGTCCATTGTAGCTCATTAATTGAGATGCGCCTGGGTGTACTCGACCCTCCAGTCTGTCCATTGTAGCTCATTAATTGAGATGCGCCTGGGTGTACTCGACCCTCCAGTCTGTCCATTGTAGCTCATTAATTGAGATGCGCCTGGGTGCACTCGACCCTCCAGTCTGTCCATTGTAGCTCATTAATTGAGATGCCCCTCGGTGCACTCGACCCTCCAGTCTGTTCATTGTAGCTCATTAATTGAGATGCGCCTGGGTGCACTCGACCCTCCAGTCTGTCCATTGTAGCTCATTAATTGAGATGCGCCTGGGTGCACTCGACCCTCCAGTCTGTCCATTGTAGCTCATTAATTGAGATGCGCCTGGGTGCACTCGACCCTCCAGTCTGTCCATTGTAGCTCATTAATTGAGATGCGCCTGGGTGTACTCGACCCTCCAGTCTGTCCATTGTAGCTCATTAATTGAGATGCGCCTGGGTGCACTCGACCCTCCAGTCTGTCCATTGTAGCTCATTAATTGAGATGCCCCTCGGTGCACTCGACCCTCCAGTCTGTTCATTGTAGCTCATTAATTGAGATGCGCCTGGGTGCACTCGACCCTCCAGTCTGTCCATTGTAGCTCATTAATTGAGATGCGCCTGGGTGCACTCGACCCTCCAGTCTGTCCATTGTAGCTCATTAATTGAGATGCGCCTGGGTGCACTCGACCCTCCAGTCTGTTCATTGTAGCTCATTAATTGAGATGCGCCTGGGTGCACTCGACCCTCCAGTCTGTCCATTCCATTGTCCTTGACAAAGCCTAGCCTCTCAGCAAGGCACAGACTTGGCACAGGAAAGCATATTAGAACCAATTGGTCAAACGTCTTAGTTCCAAAGGAATAATTACTGTCATTTCCTATATCCTCATTACAACGACATTCTTTTTGTTTTGCTTTTCATTCTGAAGTTGATTTGATTCGTTGGAGTTTTGACTTCAGCGGTTGGTGGCTCTTCCATAGTTTGATTGACTGGCTGTTGGTCCGAATCAGGCAGGGCAGCATACCATCAGGTTAGTCCAAACAGTAGAAGGGTTTCACACTATAGCATGCCATGAAGTATTTCCATTGAAGAGGTTACTTTTCAACTGAATGGAAGACCTACTGCACATAATACCCTGCCAAAAATAATGATTTGTTAATAATGATTTGTTAATGTGCAGTAGGACATAGACAAGAAGCCTCGTAACTTTAAAAAAAAAAAAGTATTGATTTACAGAACAAATATCAACTGCATGTAGAACAAAAGTGAGTTTTTCTTCTTCTTCTTTTTTTTACCTTACTTTTTTGACCATCTACAAAGTGATATGGACATTTTCCAATAATGTGCTACAGGCAAAGCAAAATTTACTGTATTTTGAATCGCTCTTATTGTCTTTTCTCAAACTCAGTGTGTCAGTTTGATTTACCCTTTACTTTGTGATTATAAAAGTTTCAGAGATTTCAAGAACTTTCCATTTTCTAAAAATGTTTCCTTGTGTTTGTTGCATCTTTCTTCAAAGGTGTCCAAGTCAGCCAATCAGAGGCCATCATTGACCTTGTGACCCACACCCTTGAAGCTGATTGGTCACTGTCATCCAAGCTTCAGCCAATCACTGACTGCCTCTATCAACTGCTATCTAGGTATTGTTTCTCTTATTATCCACTGTGGTTACTTACTGACTGGCCCAACAGTAATAGGCTATTGGAATTAGACCTCAAATAAAAAAAAAAAATCCATTTTTTTTTTTTACTCCTAATACATTTTGCCATGCTGTTGTGAAACTTGTGAGCCATAGAGAGTAGTGCTTGATTTGACAGTGACATAGTCCTGCATTTGTCCAAAGCCCTCAGAAACTGTAACCTTCTGGATTATGTGAAGGCATAAAAGTTGCAAAATCGAGTATGATAAATTAAAAAGTTTGTGTTAATCCAAATGATTTCAGCAAGTGAAAAACCATTTGCGTATTCAACTTGTATCTTGATTATTCCACTTATGCATCAAAACGAATTACTCTTACTATATTAGTGTTGCTATATCATGCTATTTGAGGAGAGCCTATTACCAACACCATACACACCCTAAGCCTGACATGATTCTGTTACATTGGTCTTATAGCTTGACTTCCTTGACAAATCCCCCATTGGGTCTGCTGTCTGTCTGCCTCAAGTGCATCGGTGTCCTGGCTAAACATCAGCCCAGACAGGTATTTGTCCATTTATACAGAGTTCCTTCGCCAATTTCTGTGTCAAGCAGAAATCATGTGAGAACCAATCACAAGCCATGTTTATTGCGTGACATTTTGTCGGTAATCTGTTTTTGCTCAGCAGATAGTTTTCATTCTTAGCAAATGTTTAGCATGTACAATTTGTCATTTTTACATCACTCAGTTAGACATCTAAATGAATGTCTTTATTAAACTGTGTATGTTTTTGTACTTCCAGGTATGGCAGAGTATACAAAAGTCTGGTTTCCTACCCCATACCGGCAATGTGTACAGTAATGCAGCTGAAGCCATCAGGTACAAGACATGTTTGTCCCATGTCAATAATCTTTTGTGAGCATTATAGTGGAGTTCCCTGATATAGCGCACTTCGACGTTTTCCCTGACGTTCATCAAGTGTTCACAAATCTCTTTGTTGACAAGCTTTAAATATATGCAGTTAAAGACTCGTACTATTACCTTAATAATGTTTGCTGTTGAACCGTTGTGAACAGTATTAGTGTCATGAATTTAGTCCGAAAATCAAAAATGGTGGCATCCGGAAATTGGGCACAATATGCTTTAAGTGTTCCCTAACGGATGTTTAACATTTGAGAATTTGTTAATCTGATAAAGGATTATTATCTCCACTCACATATCCAACTATATGTACATGTTTGTCAAAAAAGTTTTTTTCTTATTTTTGGGCACAAAATTGGAAATCGCGCCAAAATAAAATTTCTCTCTTAACTTTGTAAAGGTAGGAAAAGTGAAGGTTTATGAACAGGTATGTTTAGAGCTTGATGAAATTTTGCTTACTATGAAATTTGAGCTTAAACTTTTGCTCTAGCTAGGAACTAGAGGCAAAAAAATCACAGTGCGCCACATTAGGGGCCGTGCCACATTAGGGGACATCAACAAGAACAAGATGTAGGCCTAGTCAAAAGGCAGAGTCAGGTTGGCACAGTACTACTCTACTCCCCTTTCACTTTTGTGATCAAAGCTCAAATCCCCCAAAGACCAACATTTCAAACTGTGGCTTGGAAGCCTGTTTATGGTATTTTTTTCTCCACCCATGTTTGATGGCTCAGTGGTGAGGGTATCTACCCAGCAGAGTACGGCAAGTTGTTGGTCAGCCAGGAGCAACCCACAGGAGAATATCCTGTCACCTTGGAGTTCCTGCGCCTGCTCAAGATCCTGCTTGAGGTAGGACAGTCCCATGAAAAAGATATCCTAGATCTAGGGCCCAAGGCTCCACATGATTTGCATGATGAGGGTACAACTAGGCAGCTTGATGGACACGGCATGTGAAGTAACTGCTTCCAAAAAGAGAAGTCATTTTGAGAAGAACCAGTATGTCAGTGTGCTCGACTATCATCCAGGAGAATGCTGTACCTTGAGAGAGAGAATCTTAAATGAGTACAGGAGAAGAATTCCGATGACAGTCAGAGGACACTGACCAAATTGGTACGTTCTTTTCAGAACCACCTCTCTTTTTACGGACAGTCACTTCGCATGATGTATGTGCAAAAAACATCTTGCTAAAAGAATCACATGGACGATGCATTCATTTTTGATCATCACAGGCACTGCCCCCCCCCCAAACAAAAATCTCTGATGGTTACTTTCCTAATATCTGCCTCACATCCAGGGTCTGTGTACATCTGATGTAGACATTGCTACACATCAGGATCTGCTGGCCTGCGTTGTGTTTGTACAGAGAGAAATATTCTCAGCATTCCACAACTGGAGATATGCTCCCTTTGACGATAGGGAAGAAGTGGGTAGGTTGATCTCAAGGTCTTAGTAGTAAGAGCTATAATACACAACTTGTCATGTGTCTTGATGGATGTAACTTGTCTTGCTGAGCTGAACAGATTTCTAATCTTAGGTTTTGCCTTTTGCTGACTGTTGCTAAGCAACTTGTGCAGCTTGTTTTCATATCCTGTACAGTTCTGCTCCCCAATGCAACACCAGTCTTATTAACTTACTGTAATCTCAACAGATGCTTGTCATATGCAAATAGTTCTTTACTTTTACACAAGTACAGAAAACAATCACATCTCCATTCCCGCCTGTTTATTAAACAGTTTCCCATTCACAAGTCTTTTATGTCTATGCTCAATGCAGGCAAGTGCAGTCTGGATATATTCCACATTGTACTCCATGTTCTCCCAACTATTGGACAAACCAAAGCAGCGCCATTTGTCGCTGATGCTTCCAAGACGTAAGTACTTCAATGTGTGTAATGATTTGTACTCCATTGGTCTTTCTGTGGTCTTCTGCTGGGTTATCAAAAAAGAGAACATACATTTGGCAACACTAAACGCTTTTTGTTCTCATCCATAAAAGTCATTGTCTTTGAGCAGATTCTCCAAGGTATTCTTGCCATTATGTCCCATGCACTGCCTTACTTTGGAATTCTTGACCTGTCTCATGCTACTCTCATGGTGCAACATCCATATAAACAACTGCTTCTGTACAACCTGTTGTTATTCTCAGTTCCCTTGTCTTTCCCCTCATTGTGTAGCCCTCACATTGAGTGGCCTTTCCAGAACCTTGTCATAAGCAGTGTTGTAGTACTTGTACTCAGTACTCGTACTCGAATGTCAAAGTATTCGTACTCGATATGACGGAACTCGTACTCGAGCAGCAAAGTACTCGTACTCGCACATGTCGAAATTGTACTCGATCATCAAAGTACTCGTACTCGAATAACAGTACTCGATAAAACAAAGTACTCGTACTCAAATAGCGATACTCGATAAAAAAAAAGGTATAGCACTTACGTTACCACGGCCTTATTTTATCGATACTTTGAGTCTCAAGTGATTGATTGCGGAGAAATCGAAATGTTCTCTATTCCACGCACATCCGTACAAACACAGCTAGCCGTGAATTAACAGCTTTTTGCATGCACGTTGCATGTACTTTTGTACATGTACCTGTACAGTCGACGTTCGCTTACGCTTGCCTGTGTGGCACTTCAGTCACTTTTTTGTACCCAAATTGTATACATTGTTCGTGAAATGAACCCCAAAATACATGTGTCATGTCATATGTGTCCACTGTTGTGAAGTTTGTGTTCAAGGATCACAGGGAATTTGTCCAAAATGGCGTGAAACGCCAAAGTGCAGCGTGCATGTTTTGTGCTGTTCGCATATCAGAAACATATGGGACAACTTCGAACTTCATCTTCAAACTTCATCAAGCATTATGCGGAACTTCATCAAGCATATGCGGAAGAAACACCCTGCTTTTGTAAGAACACTAAGAACAGTGGTTGAAACTAAGTAGAAATAAAGAATTTTTTTCTCGGCCATTTGAATGCTTGTTGTACTTGCAGTTTTTTTTCTTCTGAGGAATCCAAGGACCTGAAAATACATGAATAATAATAATACAAATTAAATGCACAACACTGTATAGATTAATTTTATTAAATGACAGTTGACCCTAAACTTTCATGTCTGTATCTCAGCTGGGTAGCATTTCCTTGGAAAATACATTTACATTGATTTGAGACTGCTGTTGCCGATTTAAAAAACAAATTAACTTCAAAATAACTTTAAAAGCTTACAAAGACGAACCCTATCACAAGTGATTAACAGTACACATAATTTTAGGCTTCAAGCACAGTATATCCGGTGCCATATTCGGAAATACAAGTACTCGTACTCGTACTTGGAAGTACTTGTACTCGGAAGTACTTGTACTCGTACTCTGACATTCAAGTACTCCTACTCAGAGAAACCTAGGTACTCGGCAACCTAGGCACTCGGCAACCTAGGCACTCGGCAACCTAGGCACTCGGCAACCTAGGCACTCGGCAACCTAGGCACTCGGCAACCTAGGCACTCGGCAACCTAGGCACTCGGCAACCTAGGTACTCGGCAGTACTCGGTACTCGGAAAAAAGTACTCGACTACAACACTGGTCATAAGTGACATTTACTTAAAAAAAAAAAAAGGAAATGGAGAGAATAGAGCAATAGTCTGGTCCCGGTCCATAGATAAGCACATACAGTGTAAGTCCTTTGATATCCTACCCCACCACACGTATTCATCACTGGCTTCACGGCAGCCCTAGTGCATCATGGCTATATAAACAGATACCAGGTACGTTTGCAGGCAAGACAATACTGGTTCCCGCCAATACTTACGTGTAGGGAAATTGTTGAGCTGTGTACCAATGTAAATACGGCAATCTTTAACTTTCTGAAGTTTTAGCAAGACCCCTCTGAGAAAGGGACATTTAACAGGTTGTCTTGGTTCTTTGTGATCCAGGTAGAAACTTTGTAGGGATCATGTCAGACTTTTGTCATGCCAAGAAGACGACCCATCTTCAAAACAAGAAAGCTCAAAGTTGTCGCCGCACAGGACTGAAAAGTTGATGTGTGTAGACCACGGCAGGCTTAGCCGGCCAATTTCCTTGGTCTGGATCATGAATCCTGTGAAAATGTATGTGTAGAAGTACCCAAAACCATTTCAAAAATGATAGTCTCTTATTTATCCTGGGATAATCAGCACATAAGATGGAATATCATCGTAGGATCATGTTTGTGTTAAACAATACAAATCTTATGGCATGGGCATTTTCAATTGGAAAGTTTCCTTGATGTTGTTAAATTTGTTTTTGTTTTTTTACCCTTAGTATTGCATCAATTCGTGAGACGTGTGTGCATGGTTTTCTGTACACCCCAGCTGGTGAGGCATTACTTTACATCATTGCCTCAGGCATCGACATTCTGGAACAGAGAATCATTGATCAGGGGAGGTCAGTTGATTTGTTAATCTGAAATGAGAAAGGTTAGAGTTGTGTAAAGCTGAGAGAAACTGTAGATTGATCATTTGACCAAATTTTCCTTAGTGTACAATGCTGTATGCCCGAAGCTTTTTACCAAGTGTAACAAATTTGTACGCATTGTGGCAATTTAGCCTCTGGCTACACACAATTTTTTTAATAAACTAGAAAAATAATAATAATAAAATTTGTGTCTTTGTTTTCGTACAAAATAGTGTCTTCGAAAGCTGTTTGCTTAAATTGCATGAACATTTGTTATTGAAAAAAGAAAAACATTGCTACGCTGTCAGCCAGTTGCAGCTACAGGAGTTTCAATTCTGGCTGCTTTGGGCCGCTATGGTCATCACAAGATTAAAGATCCTTCTTACTTGATTTGTGATTTCTGTGATCTTTGCTTCTTGACATGATGCAATCTGTTTTGAAGTGTGCAGTAGTGACACAACTGATGTGAAAGGCAGCATTTGTATGATGTCAATGATGGCTTATTCTTGTTTTTTCAAACTTGATAATGTGACCATTACAAACCACTGAAGTTTCAGTAACCAAGACAAGATACAACAGATTTGATGTCACCTCTTTGCAAAACAGTATCAGAATACTTTCTTGTTTTCTTTATCCCAGTACGTTTGAATGTGCGGCAGAGCGTCTCTCCCAACTCATCAAGCTCTCTCTGTCCATCCTGAACCGCCTACTTCTCTTGAAGCCTCCTGGTCAGCCCCCGTGCCCCTTAGTGCAAACCCTGACCTCCCATACCACAGGCCTGCCACACCAGCCCCACCTGATAGGCCTGATTGCTGGTTATATCTACCACCGACATGATCCCAGGTTGCCTACACTGGCCACATTGCTGCTCAAGAGAGTAGCCATGGTGAGATCTGTAATCATCCACCATTAACTAACTGTCAAGCGGTTAATTTGTGGCTGTCCATTTTCAAATTATTTAGTGTTTGATTATTTGAAAGTGTGTTTGACCGAATATTTGGATATTCAAAACTCGCTGATCAAGTTTTATAAGGACCAGCTGCAACTGTGTGCCACGCCGCTCCAAAGTTGCACGCAAAGTGCGCCAGATAAAATGTGCGTTCGGCGCGGCAATCTATATTATGGGCCGCTGAAGTGTTTTGCAGTTAAAGTATTTTATAACTTTCAAGGGCATTTACCTGTTCAAAGGATAGGAACAATGAACCGCAATCGACAAAAAAGTCACATCTTACAATAAAAGCCCAAATTTTAAGATTAAAATAACATCACAGTCATGTGTGAAGGTGGCTAGATTTTTTTTCTTCTCTCAAATATTCGAAACCAGTAAAAACTATTTGAAAATTCGGTTGTTGATTCGGTTGAATATTCAGTATATTGGGGACAGCCCTACTTAATTTCATTTTGAAATGCATCTTTGGAAAGAGTACTTCATTCTCCCGTAAATGATGGCAAAATCAATGCATTCCTACTTTCCTATATTTTCCTATATTGTGTAAATAATTCCAAAAAGATAATATTATAATGAGGATATAATACTGTGATGGAGCAATTATAAATAAGGGAATAAATGTGTGCTCCGGAGGTTTTTATCACTCGTTTAATACCGCTTAGAGTCTGGGTGCTGATAATTACTCGAGCCGGAGGCGAGGGTAATTATCAGCACCCAGACTCTAAGCGGTATTAAACAGAGTGATAAATACCGACCGAGCACATATTTATTCCCATTCATAAATACCTTATCCGTAAAAAAATATCAAATAATTCGTTCAAAAAATCCCGATTTTGTTCAACAAGTTCACTTCATGCTTTTTGAAACATCCCTCTAGCAAAATAATGGAGTGTTCAGCTGGCGAGTAAGATGTAAACAACCCTTTTATGGAGATTGACGCGCGCTTAACATGTTCTGCGTGATGTCACGCAGAACGCACCTGGGGCGTTGCGTTTTGAATTTAGAACTATAAAATTCTGACTCGCTTGTAGTGTTGCGCATGCCTACGTGAGGATTGTGAACGTTAAACCAATGAAACGGTAAGAGGCACTGGATTTTTAGGAGTCCACATTTTATTGTGACACTGGAAAAGTGTTTAAGACCAGCTAGCCATGTCTTTATCATCCGTTTAAGACCGGCCACGTGACGGGCTCTCGACCAATAGGAATAGCTAAACTGTCTGAGGTATTTATGAATGTGTGGTTTAAAACTAGTCAAGCACATTACAATACCCAGTCATAAATACCTTTTCGGTCAAAAACAGTAGAGAAGGTCGAAGAGTTGACAAAGTTCCGATGATTTTGATCTACCATTTACTCCATGTTTGGGTCATTTCTATGGTGCGCACGACATACGCTGTGTACTCAAACACCGATATCTTTATGTGGAGATCAGTTCAGATCATTTGTACCATTAGGTACACGACCAGCCTTAAACATATCTTAGTGGTGTTTAAATCGTTGTTTAAAATCACCCATATGTCAAGCCCTCAACCAATAGAAAAAGGTAAACTGTCTCCAGTGTTTATGAATTAGGCCTATTATGAATATTGTTTTAAGATTCCTTTGTGAGATATGAATTTAATCACTGATTGTTGTGAGCTTTTTCTGCTAGACATGAAATGCTGTGTAAATGATGCATTAAGGATGTCACATACAGTTTCACAAACTTCACAAATAACCATTCTAGACCTTTGATGTTACAGTGTCTGAGACACAATAAAACATTTACGACATGTTTTTAGTGAAAAGTGCCTGTTTTTGTGACCTAACTTTCACTTTGACTTGTGCATTGATATGTTGATAACAGCTAGCTATTTGATGACCTCAATCCAACCTATCTTGTATTCTTGCAGGTTGCACCCATGTCTATCTTTGGCTGTCTTGGCAGTCAAGCAGCAGCTATCCGAGATATCTACCTGTCTCGTTTGCAGGCACATTCAGAGGTCAGTTAACCAACAACCTTTAGCTCTCACAAGCCCTTCTCTCCCAAGTCTTAAAGCCTGCATGGAATATAGCTCAGTGCTCCATATATTTTTCTGTGTTGCTAAGCCAATTTCATGGCTTTGTTAATTGTGAACAGATAATCTGTGCTGAGGTTGGTTCACACTGCGAGCGAATGGAAATGTGAAACAAAGTTGACGTCATAAAACGTTTGCTGCAAAATTCGACTGAATTGTAATGTGTTCAACTTTTGCAAATTTGTGGCGCAAAACTCATTTGCATATGAGTATGAATTGACCTTAAAGCCGAAAATGTGGCTTCAAAAGTCAGTCTATTTCTGAACTTGATGTGGACCATTGGCTATTGCATGACTGCATTCCATAACTTAAGATTCTTACAGGGTTAGTTCAGAATTGATGTAGTCATGGTGTGAGCACAGCATGGTGATCATACACCAACAAGTCTGTATCGGTAGTAATATTAGTTATGAAATTGAACCCATCTGTGTGCCATGCAAAAATTAATGCATAAAGTGTCACGTTTTGGTTTCAACTTATTTGTGGACTCTGCTGCTTTAAAGGATTGGACCTAAGGTGGTGCTCAATATCTGAAACTCCCTAGTCAATCTGATTGTTTTGTAACTTTTTAAATTTTTTTATTTTGCGTTGCAAAGTTGCCTGATAGTTTTGCCTATTAATTAATTTTCTGTTATTAAGGCACTGATTTGCAATCAGAAAATCAGTGTCTTGAATTAGTTTTTTTTCTAACTGCTATTTTTCACCTGTATGTTTAAACATAAGTCTTTAAAGCTACAGTCCATCATTTGTAATTTGTGCATTTTGTTCGTTTGAAGCAACAAAACAGTTCAAAATCTAATGAAGGATACTGAGCAACTAACCTGATGAAGTTTCAGCTAAGCTTCAGCTGTACATTCCGAGAAAAACAGCATTCTAAGATCTCAATTTCAAATCAAAAGTTACTGAATCATGTTTTGAATTGTTTTGAATTGCAGCTATACGCGACATCGCGCACTGATCCGACGAATTATGACAACTGCGCGCGCGTGTGCGTCGTTCCAATACTTGTGCGCGCTGCGCTGAATAACAAAACGAACTACTAATTTAAATTTTCCTACGGTGCTTCTTAAGAATCACCGTTGGAAATGCCTTCTTTCGTTGATTACTTCAAAATGACAGCTTCCCAGAAAGAATAATTTCACAGGGAGTTTAGTTCCCTTACTATCTTTCAACCAAGTTTGTTTTTCAACAATAATTACGCCAGTTACTTTTCGGATGGCTGCAGATGATGGACTCTAGCTTTAAAACGTTGGATTGTGGATATAGTTTAATATAAGATCCGTATCATTTTTTAATAATACTTCTTATTTTTATGTTTTTACAGAATGTGTAAGTTGTAATCAATTTTACTCACAGTATATTATTTGCTTTACATCGTATGTAAAGACATTTTGAATCCAGTGATTTTCAAGTATTTTTCCCTGCAATTGAATCCTATCAGGATGAAAGGTTAAAGGTCGGCATCCTGGAGCTTCTGACAGTTGCCGTGGAAACCCAGCCAGGGCTAAGTGAACTATTCCTGAATTTGGAGAAGGTCAAGCCAGAGCCTGGGGAGCAGTCAGAGGCTGAGACATCTACTCTGCCCTCCAGCACAAAGGTGGGTGTGGTGCTTTCTACCTGCCCTTGAGTTGATTTTCTTGTAATCTACTTGTTTGATATTGTTTCTCGTAATGATGGTGAGAGTTTCCCAAATGTGCATTAGCCTGAAGAAACCTAGAAGAAAACATTGTCAAAATGTTCAGTTTTAGAGGTAAAAGAAAAAGCATGGAATTAAATTCAAGAGATCCTTATGGAGTAAGGCAGAGACTGTAATGCTGCTCCACTTGACAGCCTTAGTAGAATTCAATCCTTGGCCAGAGGGGTGGAAGACCTATTGTACCAAGCTGGCTCCTCAGACTCCTCTGCAGCTCACAGCTTTGTCTGTATAGTCTGCATGGTGAGCCCCATGACTTCCCTATTTTTTTAGTTGTGGAAATTGAACTGTTCTTGAGTTCTTATATATGAAATTTATCTACAAACGGTCCTAAAAAGTAACATATGAAATACAGAAACTCAAGGAGCAATGCATTTTACAGTTCTTACATTGAGTGATTATCAGCAATTTCACAAAACAATGTGTAATTTATTCATGCATAATATTTACACTGCAAATTTGTTGTGCAGTATGCAGTATACTTATGCAGTATACTTATGCAGTATACTTATCAAATTCAGAAAACTTGGCATAGCTGTGCAATGTTTTATTTGTTGGACAAGGGAAACCACAATTTTTACAATGGCTATTTTTGTAAGATATAATATTGGAATAATGTGAGAAAACTGCCCTTTCTGTTCAGCAGGTGGAGATTGGCAAAATTAGCTGTCTGCATGCTGTGCTTGACACCATTGAAGAAGTCAAACAGGTGGGTATTCACAAAGACATTGTCAACATAGAGAGAGCATGTGCTTTTTACAGAATGCGTCACAAATATATAGATCGCAGCATAAGCTTTTGAGCCTTTAAAAAATCTTACAAGTACGTGCCGATAGATAAAAATATGTTTATCTAGGTGTTCAGAGTAGGTTTATATATATTATGCTGTATACACAACGAACATGGCATGTGGATTTCCAGTCGTATCCATGGAATTGCTCATTTATATGAGCAAGTAACAGTATTAAAACGCGTCCATTGGCAACACTTATATCGTGCTATAGCCCGTAATGCATCATAAGAAAAATGATGACATTCAAACCGTCTCATTTTACACAAAATGACAAGGACTCAACATTGTTTCTCTTGTTTTTGATGATGAGAAGGCTTTAAGGTGGATTTCGTTCCATCAAGGAAGGTTTCAAATTCCTAGGATTTCAAAATTTATTTCCATTTATTTAGTATCACATGTAAAAAAAGAAAGAAAGATGGGTGACTAACTGTAAGGCAATATATCAGGGGTAAAATTTGTCAGGATTTTTCCTGATTCAAGATTTTTTTGTCAGGATTTTTCCTGATTTCTGGAATATTAAAGAATCCTTTTGAATTCTGCAAATGCTAAGGTTTTACTTTAAAGGCGTTTTTACCTATAAAGGTTTATATACAACAAAAGAAATTGGTATTTTAGAGATTCCTGTAGGCATATTTATACAAACATAAACCACATACACTACAATGTTCTGGGCCCCTCGGTGATCTCAAACCCTCTGCTGATTATTCCTGATATGTGCAGGAAGGCCTCTGTGAATTTGAAAAGTGGAACCTTTAAGGCAAAACTGCGGTGCAATGCAGAATTATAAATCTCTTGTATTACACTGAAGCTGTTTATGTTAACTCCTATCTGTATGTTATTGGTCATTGTTCTCTTGGTGCTAGGGTACTACTCACTGTCCACCAGACCTCCACTGTGCTGCCCTGGGGTTTCTGCAGGCTCTCTGGCTGGACTGTAGAGAGACTGCCCTCTCTGTGCTCAGAATCAGGTAAGAAATGTACACCTGATATGTATACATGCAAACTCCTTAGTCTGCATCTTTCATCTTATTCTGCTATATCTTGAAAACAAAGCTGCAAAGACCCAAACTCTTGTGTAAATCCATATGACTACAAATCCTGAGCGCAACAGGAACATGATAAACTGAAATGAATTTCCTCATGTCATCTGTTGTTGGGTTCAAAATGAAAGAAAAGCAATTGAAGATATGCTACTTCAACATTATTTTGAGGATCACCAAAATATAGTGGTTTTGATGGGTAACGGGAAATCCACATTATGTGTTTTACCTGCTGAGAAACTGTTGACAAACTCTGTTTGCATCTGACGTGGTAGCTATTATCTGGCCCACACGTATTGCCAGCAGCGAACAAAGCCAACAAATAAAGAGCCATAATGATAATGAGAGCAAGTTTGTTCAAAGCAACATTTTGAAGAGAACATGTGTGCCTCCCGAGGCCAACAATTTTGTAACTTGAAAACTGCACGTTTTCAAGGTATATTTCGTGCAGATTTGTATTGTCCTTTTTTTAAGGATCTTTCCAACCATTATCATTTTATGGTCAACACATTTTAGAGTGTATTCTTGACCTTTAAGCCAATGAAGTTCATGGCTACTCAGGAGTGAAACTCAGACCGGTTCATGGAGGAACTCGTCATATATATGTTTAGCAATGCAATGCCTTGTACAGCAGATTGGCACTACATTTGCCTCATGACAAGACATCCAGCTGATGATGCTTGAAGTAACATTTTAATGTCATGAACAAATAAACTTTGTGCTCTTTGTTATTTAATTATTGTTTGTTTTTGTTGTTTTTGTTGTTTTTTCTCTTGTAGACCCAAATTCTGGGATGACGTAGCTGCTCCATTGTTCAAACATCTTCCTGTACCTGAGGGTGGTAGTCAGGTGAGATTGGCCCACTGATCTTTATATAAAGACTGGATAGCGGATATGCATACAACATTCACACAGTAGACTTTGCATATTGACCAATTCGCCCCCGGTCTCACGAAGATGGCCGCGCATAATACGAACGTTCTACGCGTAAATACGCGCGCGTTGTATCAACAGTTGACGCGCATTTTGGTCACGTACACATATTATGATGTTCTAAAAGGAACACATTTCCGTAGTGATTATTATTTCAAAAACGCCGAAAAAGTGATTTGCGGCATTATAAAAGTAACCACTACGTTAGAAAAATTGTAGTAAACCTTGGTCAGTTGGTCAGTGGTGGTGGCCAAAATATAAGTCAAGTGAGCCGCGACGTTACAAAAGAAATCAAGCTGTCTATAAAGACGGCAACTTGTCCTTTGTAGATCACCAGCCGGTCTCACCAATATGGCGTCAAATTCGTACATTGTGCGGCTCTTTATTAGCTATCCAGTCTTTATATAGAGATAAGTGGATTGGCCACTGTAATGGTTGGGAGCTAAATGACATTGAACCACAAGTATTACTTGCTTTGTGACGTATTACTAAAGTAATGATTAATGTTAATGGCCTGAAAAGTACCTTAAGGGGGACAAGGTAGATCCTAATGTTCAAGGCCTTTTTCTAGGAATAATTTTGTTGTCGCAAAAAGGCTTAATCACTTGCTTGGAATGCAAAATTACAAAGTTTGGTGAGGGTAAAATAAGTTTAAGTTAGGGTTAAGTGTCATTAAAGTTAGGATTGTCTCCCAAAGGTACAATTTCCCATAATAATCATTGTTATATTATAATTTTCAGTATACAATTTATATATTTGTAATTTAACTTTTCAGAATTGTTTTGTAAAGGTTCAATATATCATTTCCTCACTTTTACTCCCTGATATATAACTCCCAAAAAGCTAAACAAAACTCCAATAAGAAAAAATCCCCCCACAAAAAACAAAATCCAATTAGAACCCCCCCCAAAAAAAATTAAGTGAGTGTATCTCATCTAGAAAATTTAAAGTTAGAATTTGCAGCTGTAATGAAAAGAAAAATCAGAATATTTAATTTGCAAATGGCCTATTCAAGTTTAAAGTTTGCTCTACCCATGCTCTTCAACATATTCAGTTTGTTTTCTCCTTATAAATTTTTAATTTGTACGTTTTACTTCAATGGAAAACTTTTACTTTCTATTTAGGACGTTTTTCAACCCTGTGAAAGTATGATATTTTGGGTTGCGTTTGTGCCAACAATGCACAAAAGATACACCTGAAATATTGTTGGGCTGCATAAAATTCAAATTTGTAAAGTAGTTATTCCATAGCTAAACGTGCAGTTTTTGTTTGTCAAATTCAAAAGTGAATAACTTTTATGTTGTTAGAAAAGTAGCAATTTAATAAGAAAATCTCTATGTCGAGGTGAAATTTGAAAATAGCACGGATAGAGCAATTTATTTATGGCCCATTTGATTTAACATGATGGGTATAAACTATGCCTCATCCAGACCTGCCAACTAGTACGATTCTGCTGTATTTCGTACGGGAATTTGTTGAAAAATAACTGTACGTTTTTCCCCCATAAAAAAAAAGGTTTTGACCAATTTGACACGCCTGGAAAAATCCTAGTTCAAAGCGGCTGTGAGTGTAGATTTCTGCCAGATAAAATTGACTGAAACAAGTACACAGAATACATTTTGATGTTTGTGGACGATAGTCACAATGTGCATGCAAGTGGTGTTCCGTTATGTCAAACATTTTTGAATAGTAGAGTTTGATACTACGTTCTGAAACCAATTAAAAAATCAGAAAAATCAACAATTAAAGCGGGCGGCTCAAACCGAACCAGGTAAATCAGCCAGCAAATGCAAGAAATTGATTTCTTTTTCGGGTGCGTGCACGTGAATTATGATTCAAGAATCAAACTGGCACTTGGCAGCAACGTGATTAAACATGAATAAGCTTAGATTATACTTGGAAGTCATATGAATGTTTCACCTGCATTATAGGTTTATTTATTTCAAACATGAGGAAGTCTAGTCTTTAATTTATGTTTAAGTAGACTTGCATTGAATAGTTTTTAAAGCAGTTTGTTCATGAATAAGGTATATGATCAATATCCTTATTCATGCAAATTGTTTGATTGGGTTTACCACCCACAGGGAGACCTCCAGTCATGTTTTTATAACTTTAAATTAAGATGAATTAAAAATGGAGCATTGCAGCCACATTTATTTGTTCGTATAGCCCGTCTATGCATATTTTTGAAAAATACAGTTTTTTTTATGAAAAATACAACTTTTGGAGATTCAGAATACAGTTTCTCGATCCCAAAGGTTGGCAGGTCTGCTCATCATTGATATCATTGATTGTGTTAAATCTATTGTATATTTCTAGAGTATCAGCTCACAGATCAAGATTCGTGCCTATGCCTTCAAGATCCTGGCATTAGAGTGCTACTACGTCTCAAGGTAGTCAAACAGCCATTTGAACAGAATTTAACATCTCTTAAATCTTTCTCAAGATGTTGAGTTTTTACAGTATCAACGGTCATTGGGTTTAGAAGAAGGAAATTAGTAGGTCATATGTTTAATATTGCAACATATTTGTGGTTTCATGCTTATGACAAAATGCTAAATATCTTGCACAAGTGATAATATAATTAATGCAAAATGAGACACAAAGACTTGGATTGGTTATCAGTCGTTGAGTCAAGGAAATGATCACTCAACACAAACATGGCTGGAATCTGAAATAATGTCTTGTTTTTTTCCTCCTAGAGAAAATCTTCAGAAAGATCTGAAAACTGTCCTGAAGAAACTGAAGCAAGACGATAGGTACACATATTGGTCAAAGGTGTGTGGCATGCTGCCTTGTTTCTAGCATCATAAGTTCCATTTAAGTGATTTTTGTTATTAACTACCAAAATCTTGCATGCATGTGCTCTTTGTGCCTTAGACCTGTTTGCTGGTTGGCCATCACCAATTGCAAGTCCATCACAAGTCTAATCTGAAGTTAAATCACACAAGTTCATCACAAATCATCTCAAAAGTCAAGTCACAAGTAACGATATACTCTTTGTCTCAGTTCATTTGAATAACTAGTGACTTTGTGATTGACTGGTTGGGACATGACTACAACTCTCCCTCAGACAACTCCAAACACATACATGCCCAATGCATTAGTAATACACACATGAGTATACAGACATTGTGTGAATGTTGTCTCACACGATATGCACGTGGACATGTGGTGAAGTTTTCTTATTGCTAGGAAAATTTGCTGGAAGGAAATAACAAGGCACACATGCTCGGTCATTGTCAAGCCAGCCGAATGACAGTGATGTTCACATGTTCATAAGGATATGCATGTGTCAATGCAGATAATGCGCAACAATCTGCTTGCGTATATTTCCCCAAATGACTTCTTTAATCAGTGTGTAGTACAAAACACCATGGCCACATCACAGTAGTTAATGTATTATCTCTGTCCTTTTTGGGGGGGCATATTTGTCTATCTGTGTAGTGCATTCACACTTTGCTGGAGTCTGCAGCAGGACAGCAGACCGACTGTGAAGAATACCTGATACGTCAACATGAGCTGTTGGTTCTCATACAAGCCTGGCGCACATTCCTACTGGTATCTGCCTCACCACATGTAAGCATGCGACTAGGACGCAACTTCACAAAGCTGCTACACAGAAAACAGTGCTTATCATAATTGTATGCTAAAAGGCATATGGGATCATTTGCATTCATCACAAAAGTGATCTACCGAATTGTTATCACAAAGCTTACTTGGATTAAATTATTCCATCTATGCTTTCTGTCATTTGAAAGAAATCATGTTGTGTGATCAAAAAGTTGTGCATGTTTTTCACTGTTTTCTCAAAAAGTGTAATATAACCACTGAGCTGAAACTTCAACAGGTAATAGGTTTTGAGCATTCTTCTTTGGATTTTGAGTGGTGTTATTATTGGAACTGAACAAAAAAAATGAGAAGCAAAAGACCCTATAGGCCTATGCTTTTAAAACTAATAAGAACAATTTGTTTTTGCCATTTATGAAATGCTTTGGGCATACAGAACTATGCACTGAGAAAATGAGGTTGCCAAAAGGTAGAACTCAGAAAACCTGTTGTGTTAGAGTAGGGAGCTCTTTGCTGGCCAGCTATATGATGCACCAGGGCACATTGGATCACATTGAAGTGTAAAGTTTGCATGATACAGATAATAATGTGATGTAAGGAGGTCCTGTAGTGATGAAATTGGTCACAGTCCCAGCTAACGATTGACTCTTTGAATCATACTCACTGATAGCTGATATCGTTGAGCTCTCATTGGATGGATATTGTATAAACAGTGACCTAGTGTCAGTACAGTGCAGTGTGCTCTTGATGCCCCAACATACAATGTACGTGCATTTATGTTGATTGTAAGATACCCACAATGCTTGATATGACATACACAATATAATATCAGTATTGTAAGTATCCTTGGATAGGGTGAGTGGTACAAAGTTGACTTCTTTCCTGGGATAGCTCAACTTGCTGTCAGTATTCACACACCTACACAACTCTACCATGTTCTTCTCTGTCACTCACAGGGCAAGGCTATGGAGTTGTCTGACTCTAAGATCCAGTCAGTCATCTTGTCTGATATAGCAGCTTCCATCCATTGCCAGGTCAGTCCACTCAAACGTGCTCTAGTTTCTTAGGACGTGAAGAAAAAGAATTGTTACTCATTTGGCAAGCCCAGTTGCATGCTCAGTTTATTTTGCTCTTGCATGTATACCTTCTGCAGCTTAATATCCGGTAATTCAAATATTGGCCTTCACTGAAGTACTTTTATAAACACTCTATTCAGTCAGTGGGCCAGTTTACCTCAGCAAGCTTGGTGGTGAGTGATCTTATTTACAGGACTTCATAGGTTGGACTCCTAACTAAGCACATTCCTGGAATTTCTCAGCAATTATTAAATAATTTTTTTAGCAAGTATTCAACATTGCAAGAATCCAAAAATAAATTATGAAATGAATCCAGAATAGCTTATTTGGTTTTAAGTAATAATAATAATAATAATGCATTCTTATATAGAGCATTACATCAAAAGAAAATCTCAATGCGCTTTACAAAATTAATCGCATAAAAGTCATAATATTACATTAAAAGCTCATTAAAAATGTACGGGATCAGAAACATTGATTAAAACAAGTATTAAAGTATTAGTGACAATCATCCTGGTGGGGTGCTGTGGTCCAATGGTTACGAAGTTCGATTTGTGTGCCGTGGTACATGAGTTCGAATCCTGACCGTGGGAACATGGTGCTTGTGTTCCTAAGCAAGGCACTTTACCATTATTGCTTCGTCCTTCGGATGGGACGTAAAGCCGTAGGTCCCGTGTGTTGAGTAATGCACGTTAAAGAACTCAGTAACACTTATCGCTAAGAGAAGGGGTTTGCCCCGGTATTTCTGGCAGTGGCTGCAATATGCACCACAGCATCTTGTCAACCCTAATAAGGTGCTACATAATGGGTCTCATATTTCTCATATACTTTATTTACCTTTCTTTAATAATAGACTTGAGTACCTAAATGTTGGTAGATACGTGCGCTATATAAGACATCCGTTTTTATTATTATTATTATTATTATTTATCCTGTGAAATCATAACATCGGTATACTTCCATCTTCAAGAAGAGAGGGATTTTGTTATACTACATCTCTTAATGGATGCAAGCCAGTCATTAACCTTGTGCACATATATGTTTATTTGACAGTTGAAGACAAACATATTTTTGTGTGTTTTATTCTGACACCCATGGACACAGAAAACTTGAATATGTCACTAGAACAATATCTGCTATAAACAAATACATGTAGTTCCAAATCTTTCAAAATCACAACAAATGCAAATGTTGTCCACTACATGTATGTTTAATCCAGTTGTAACTCTTTGTTTTTATTTTCATTTCAGTCCCATCAATTTGATTCTGTCCTCAATCAGAAGGCTTGTTCGCTGCTATCAAGTCTCTACATGTCACTCTTGACCCACTGGACAAAGTAAGGACTAGAAAAAACTGCATGTACATTGATTTAGGCCCAGTGTCATAGAACTACCACCAAGAGCTTCTAAACACACACGGTTGTTAATCAAAGAGTATATTTGACTGTCCTTCAGATGGTTTTTTGCATTATAGCGCGCAGATTTGCTCAGCAATATTATGTTCATGAAATCAAACCAAGGGTATGTTTCACAGCAAGATTGCTAAGCAGTCTCAAGTAGTGTACATTGCATGAGCGTTGATTGGTTCCCTGTTCATTGTCAGCAAATAATGTCATTGCTTGACAATTGTCTTACTAATTCCATCCATGAAATTGGCCTCATGCCAAGCCAACAACAGTTTCTTAATAGAGTCGTTACCACTTTTGGATCTCTACTACATCTAGAGATTTTGGTGAGATTTTGACTAAAAATACATTTTTACTGGAAGATAAATGTTGACTCAAACAATTGACCAATCTGGTGGTTCCCAGTAATGGCGGAAGCATTGTGCCAGGTATTGTGCAGATTAACACTCATGGAGTGGTGGTTTGTATATTATAGCCGTCACGATGCTTGTGCAGATTAACACTCATGGAGTGGTGGTTTGTATATTATAGCCGTCACGATGCTTGTGCAGATTAACACTCATGGAGTGGTGGTTTGTATATTATAGCCGTCACGATGCTTGTGCAGATTAACACTCATGGAGTGGTGGTTTGTATATTATAGCCGTCACGATGCTTGTGCAGATTAACACTCATGGAGTGGTGGTTTGTATATTATAGCCGTCACGATGCTTGTGCAGATTAACACTCATGGAGTGGTGGTTTGTATATTATAGCCGTCACGATGCTTGTGCAGATTAACACTCATGGAGTGGTGGTTTGTATATTATAGCCGTCACGATGCTTGTGCAGATTAACACTCATGGAGTGGTGGTTTGTATATTATAGCCGTCACGATGCTTGTGCAGATTAACACTCATGGAGTGGTGGTTTGTATATTATAGCCGTCACGATGCTTGTGCAGATTAACACTCATGGAGTGGTGGTTTGTATATTATAGCCGTCACGATGCTTGTGCAGATTAACACTCATGGAGTGGTGGTTTGTATATTATAGCCGTCACGATGCTTGTGCAGATTAACACTCATGGAGTGGTGGTTTGTATATTATAGCCGTCACGATGCTTGTGCAGATTAACACTCATGGAGTGGTGGTTTGTATATTATAGCCGTCACGATGCTTGTGCAGATTAACACTCATGGAGTGGTGGTTTGTATATTATAGCCGTCACGATGCTTGTGCAGATTAACACTCATGGAGTGGTGGTTTGTATATTATAGCCGTCACGATGCTTGTGCAGATTAACACTCATGGAGTGGTGGTTTGTATATTATAGCCGTCACGATGCTTGTGCAGATTAACACTCATGGAGTGGTGGTTTGTATATTATAGCCGTCACGATGCTTGTGCAGATTAACACTCATGGAGTGGTGGTTTGTATATTATAGCCGTCACGATGCTTGTGCAGATTAACACTCATGGAGTGGTGGTTTGTATATTATAGCCGTCACGATGCTTGTGCAGATTAACACTCATGGAGTGGTGGTTTGTATATTATAGCCGTCACGATGCTTGTGCGGATTAACACTCATGGAGTGGTGGTTGTATATTATAGCCGTCACGATGCTTGTGCGGATTAACACTCATGGAGTGGTGGTTTGTAAATTATAGCCGTCACGATGCTTGTGCGGATTAACACTCATGGAGTGGTGGTTTGTATATTATAGCCGTCACGATGCTTGTGCGGATAAACACTCATGGAGTGGTGGTTTGTATATTATAGCCGTCACGATGCTTGTGCGGATTAACACTCATGGAGTGGTGGTTTGTATATTATAGCCGTCACGATGCTTGTGCGGATTAACACTCATGGAGTGGTGGTTTGTATATTATAGCCGTCACGATGCTTGTGCGGATTAACACTCATGGAGTGGTGGTTTGTATATTATAGCCGTCACGATGCTTGTGCGGATTAACACTCGTGGAGTGGTGGTTTGTATATTATAGCCGTCACGATGCTTGTGCAGATTAACACTCGTGGAGTGGTGGTTTGTATATTATAGCCGTCATGATGCTTGTGCGGATTAACACTCGTGGAGTGGTGGTTTGTATATTATAGCCGTCACGATGCTTGTGCAGATTAACACTCATGGAGTGGTGGTTTGTATATTATAGCCGTCACGATGCTTGTGCAGATTAACACTCATGGAGTGGTGGTTTGTATATTATAGCCGTCACGATGCTTGTGCAGATTAACACTCATGGAGTGGTGGTTTGTATATTATAGCTGTCATGATGCTTGTGCAGATTAACACTCGTGGAGTGGTGGTTTGTATATTATAGCCATCATGATGTTTCTACCATAAGTGGGGATCACTGTAAGTGTATCAGTGTCCATGATAGGCTATAGACGATTTCTTTCATCCAACAATTAAATTCTGTAGGTTAGTTATTTGACCTAATGATAGAAAATAAGCAGCCTCGAATAAGGATCTAGACTAGAATGTTTACTAGAACCTATGAGATCTGTGTCTGCAACCTAGCGAGCCCTAAAGTTTGGTTCAGGTTCGGTTCAGAATTTTCTATCCTAACAATTGATTTTGGTACTGTTCGGTTGAAGTGCCATGTTTGGCACATTTTTTTCGTTTTGATGGTTTGACTGCAGCACTACTTAACCACATAGGCCAACCAGTCGTGTCTAGAAGCAGGAAAATAACATGGATCTTGCCATTATTATTGATTACTTTTGTTACAGTATCCAGGTTAGTCAATGGAAGCACATGGACAGTCTGGTGGCTGTGCTAGAGAGAATCATGGATTCAGACTCTCCAGGTCTCAGTAATGCTGTCACATCCATCACGACGGCACTCACTACACTGCTGAAACAACGCACTAGCAAACAAGGTACACTGGAAAACGGCTTGTGTGTGTTTCAAGTTTGTATATTAAGGTTGGGCTCTAAACAGTTAAATGATCTAAACAAAGAAAACACTCCATTTTCTTCAAAATATTAAAACAAAAGTTTTGTATTGAACTCATTTCTGAAAAACAAACTTGGCTCATTCATGTCATTGTTACCAATTTGAGTCGCAATTTTCAATCAATATATAATTGTTTTGGGGAAGCATTGTTTTAGTATTTTGTCCCTTTTTGTGATACATCTGCTCTGAGACCTAGCTCGAGACTGAATCTTAAAAGTCAAGACCACGGAAATGCGAGGACCTAACAAATCAGTCTCTAGACCAGTCTCCAGACCTACATCAGTCATGTTTGTTCACTTGTGTTTATGTCATAGCTCTTCATGTAGAAACAATTGAATCCCTGCTACCCATCATCTGCCTGGCCCTACAGTACAGCAGCCATTTCTACCTCAAACTACCCAGCACCACCAAACAGTCTCTTCCCTCTGTTGGGGGTTATGCTCAGGGGTCTGACAGAGGGGCTGGTTTGGATTATGGTCGGGGAACTGTCCAGGGGTCGGTCACTGCATCCGGTCTGTCCTCTACCATCACAGCTTTAAAAGATGTTTCAGGGAGGCCAGCAGGCACCAGGTCCATGAATGGGCTGGAGCAAATACAACAGGACATCACTGGGTCCCTGCCTGTTTCAAAATACTCGGTGAGAACAATGCATGTACAAGTTTTAATGATGTGTCATATTTTAATGTTGTACATGATACAAATTCTATCATTTTTACTCAAGACAATCCCTCAACAGTTTCAAGAGAATAGGTGAGGATGTTCAGGAACTAAAACAACTCCCAAGAGCAAAATGAGGCGGAGTGTGGTTTTATGTTTACGGTTTGTGATCCCTGATGATAGGGTCAGGGATTCCAATCCAGCTGCTGGCTGGAATGATGTTCTTGGGCAAGCTCCTGGACCCTTACTTTCCTCCTTCCCCCTAGGAGAATGCATGGGTACAGGCATCTGAACTAGGGAGAGAAGGAATATTCTTTGTTGCTTCATGCCAGAAAACCCAGAGATAAACACCGGCCTGATGAGCCATGTTGTCTCCAGATAGATTTAACTTTACCACTTGCCCACAACCATATGTCGTGTCACTCTACCAACTGGTGTTGAAAATCAAAGGAAGTTCACTTTTGGAAGAGCGTAGACCACGATCACATGATAGTACTGAGATGCAAATGCATTTTGAAAAGTTATTTGCACAATATTGGTTGAAGGAGCATTAACCTCTGAATATGGCCTGTGTGTGATGTGATGCCACCACAGTTATCGTTGCAGCTACAAGACTAGACTAGTGTGGACTGCATGCATAGGGTTACAAGGTTAGTTAGTTGAGCTATCGATAGCCATTTTATATTTTTCTGGTTTATGAATTGCTGATTATGAGTAGATGCCAACCATTGCTGCATATCTCCTTGATGAGCTGTTAGTTGGTGAGAAGCTGAGAGTCAGCGTGTGGTTACCACTACTCAGACAACATGGTGTGCTCAACCTGTTGCTAACTACACTACAATCCTGCATGCAGGTATGTGAAAACAAACACCACACCAGCCATAACATCAACTCTTTGTTTTCATCTGATTTGGAGTTGCTGCGAGTAATCTTCTTTCTTTTTTTTCGGACAATAATTCTCCGCGGTTTTTCTCTTTAACGATATATGATATGAACTTGTAACTTTCAACATATATCGACCCTCATCCCGAGTGGTGCATCTTACCCTGACCTCATGATGACATCATCAGGTGTCAAATTACAAGCGATTTTATCTGAAGAAAAAAAACGACGATCTTTTTTTCACCTATAACTATAGGTAAATATAATTAATCATTTTCAGACCTGGTAATCGGATAAACTATTAATTGATTAACATTTTTTGTAGTGTAGGTGAACTTGCTTGACCTTTACTTCTGGGTCTTCCAGAAGGTCAAAGTTAAATGAATTCAAAATGAATATGTTAGCCTGAAATCAAAACAAAGCACACTTTCTTCCTAACAGTTCACGGGATGATCATAAAACCTAGTGTGAAGTTGAATCATGTTATGAAGTTGTTATAAATTTTGTTACGTCATCATGATGTGATAGGGTATGAAATTACTAGCCATTTGAGAGCACAATTTGACAAAATATTATGAGCTTTATCTCTTGAACTAAATAGAGTATCGTGCTCATTTTTTCTTGAGATTGTAGAGGGTGCCTTGAGCAACATTTCATATTCCCTGGCACAAAACCGTTTGACCTTCTCTTCCCGTGTTACCGGAAGTGCAATAGAAATTGAATCTAACTGTAAAATGGATGCATTTTACTGCAGACAAATATATTATGGAAGTGTTAAGTGAGGAATGCCAAATACAAAAACATAATTTTGACGTCGTCCTCGAAAAGGCACCCTCGAGCGGCACATTAAAAAGAATTTATTCTTTTAAAATTTGAAAACCCTCAAATCAAAATTTACCACATTTTCCATTCATATTCCGTTAGCAACCACATATGAATGTGTAAGGTTTCATAATCATGACGTCATCAAACTGGAAGTTACTGTAGGGAGAATTTAACAATGCTCTTTTTGTTTATTTGCATCCGTTATTTGATCCCTGTCTCATGAGTTTGTTCCTTGTCCAATTTATGTGTTACACTAGTCTTAATGTTGACCTTTTGCTTCCAAATACAATGGCGTTATCTAATCTGAAGTTGGGTGTTATTATATTACTAACACTTAAAATTTCCATATTTCTATGGGTTATTTTTACTTAATGTTAAAAAGGTACCCTCCTTGAACTAAATCAGTATTCCCTTCCCTTTTTTGACTGATGACATCAAACCGAAATAACTTGCATGTGTACCTAAAATGTATACTAAAATTTATCATCCCAAATAGATGCCTTTTTTTTGTACAAACTAATTGGTTGTTCTGGAACGGTTCAAGTTGGAGAATCTTTGTTCTGACATTTTACATATTCATAGCTTAACTGGACAATGTATAATGAAATAGTTGTCTCTTGACCACTCTGCGTTTGTAATAACAAACGCGAACCTCTAGTTTATTTTTATTTTGGCTACAAATGCCCATTGCATAATAGTACTTGATTTCATTTATGAAATGCTTTCAGGCATGTTGGGCACAGTTAGAGGCATATAGTGATGTTATCCTTAACATTTGATGAGTGTAAAGTGTAATTGGGATATATCTCATTCAATTTTAGGTAAAACTGAACCTACCCAGTGTTGGGTATTTGAATAGGTTTATTCAGTGCAAAGAGTAGAAATGATGATATCATTTGTGTATTCAGGTCCAGCAGGGGCTACACTACACTGAGGCTGTGCTGTTGCTATTACTGGACTTGGCTAGTATTCCACAGGTCAGTCAGTACTCACAATTGTAGCATGGACGATTGCATTCAAATCATTTAGCACACTCTTAATGATTTTTGACAGTTGCATGAAACTGTCCGACATCCAATTATCCGATCTGCTAAGATGACAAAGCAAAAATCAAATGAATATTTATGATAACCTAGGTCATATCTCTCTGTGAGTTCAACACTAGCAAGCCTTCTTCAGTGTGACAACAATTCTCTGTTATAAGATTATGCTCCTATTCAAGAGATCAGTCCAGTCAACCTACTCAAATAGCTGGTCAATTGTTCAGGGTGGCAGCTAACTGCAGCAGGGCAACATCAGTGCATTTCTGTACAATGCTTACATGCATCATTCTGCACTATAGGCAGGAGCATGCACTGCACTACCTAGTGACTGAAACCAGTGATTCCACAATTTGGAAATGCAAATTTCATCACGTTAATGAGATGATGGTGCTTGAAATGAAATGGCCAAGGCGGATGTTTGGAAATGAATCTTAAATGTGCTTTTTCCTGATGTAAAAAGTAAACACATTATATGCAATTGTGTGTGGAATAGGTACAGTTACTGCTGATTTTTAAAAATAAAATCTAGTCTCTAAACTTGGTTTCATATGTACTTTAAATGCCTCCATAAACGATGGCTTCATGACATTTGGCTGCTGAACCTTCTGTATTTATGCCACCATGAGCCATGGTTATGCTGATTTGTAAATGTTAAGTTTCAGTGCTCATCGGGGAAAAAACAAAGTACCAGGCAGACTTGACTAGGTTGAAAATTGGGTTAAGAGTTTAGTCACTTTACACACTGTTTATCAAAATATTTGTCAAAAATGTGTTTACATGTATATTGTATTGATTGTAAACCATGTTGTACCTAACAGGCGGCAGAATCTATGCAGACTAGTGGACTGATACAGCAGATCTGCCTGCCGCTACTACAGCTACATCAACAGAATGGAGAAGCCATGCTGACGGGTAACAATATGGCAAAGGTAGGAAACTCTCATTACAGAAGTATGGAAAGATGTCATGGATTGCTGCCTATCAGCATTCAGTCACCAACATGAGTCATTCAGTTTTATTGGTTGTGCATTCTTTGACAAATGAGTTCATTCAAATTCAAAAGGGTATCAGTTCATTCAGTTTCATCGCAGCCAATTGCAGGAGGTTGATCCAGAGTTCAAATTTCATTTTGTTGAGTCAAACTTGTTTCTGTGGTATGTCTTTGTACAGATTTGTATATTTTTGAATAACGAAAGTAGATATTTCATGAAAAATACATCCTATACTTCACATTTTTTTTGGACAAACATATCTCTGTCCAAGTGTTTTGGAATATAAACAGATAAGTAACCATTCTAGACAAGCCTGTTTGATATGACAATATCTCATGATATTTCGATTTTATTAGTCTGATAGTCTATCAATTTGTTATTTTGCCCTCAAGGTCCCCAAAAGAGAAGGGGTCTGTCCGTTTGTTTGTTTGTTTGTTTGTTTGTTTGTTTGTTTGTTTGTTTGTTTATTTGTTTGGTTTTTTCACCCACACTTTTTTTACAATTTTTTTGTGGGAAGGCAATGTCAGAAGATGAAATTCAAAAACTAGCATGACATAGAATAACTGAAATATGGCTTCAGGAAGCCTAGGTAGCCATTGACCTGAACTGATTGAAATTGGAAAAAAGGCTTGGTTATGTGCATTTTTTAAAAGTTGTAATACTGGTGTTTGCAATATTTGTCAATCTTTTCAAGCCTCACGAAATTAATGAGGTACCTATCCTATTTTGTGTGCAGTAAAAATTTGCAGTATCACCTGCTTCACGAGTTATTAATGAATAAATATTACCCTTTTTGAGGCTTCCATTGGTCAATACCAAGACCCATGCGAAGTCACGCCGAATCACGCTAATGAATATGCTTATCTGCTCTTCGTCAAAATTTTCCTTGGAGATAGTTCAAGGTGTAACACAAGCGGTGCGTGGGGGGGGGGGGGGGAGGGAGCCCCTCATAGTCCCCCAAAAATTTGATTTAATCATAATCTTGAGTGTAAACCAAATTATTTCATGGATTGAAAGTTTTTGTGGAATAAGTTGTATTTGCATACTTAAGAACAGTATGATTGGTGCTAAGTCCAATTGAAGCCAGCTAATTAGCGCTCATTACACATTTTAATCATAATTACGAGTGCAACAATAAAACAAGTGTCAATGTGTTCCTAACACCTTGATGGAGGAGCAAAATCCGCCACTTAAGAAAGTTTCAAGTGGTGTCATCCCTACTTAAGAAAGGGTCAAAGGTCACCAGGGGTCAATAAACACCAATAACCATAACGTTGAGTGCAACTTGCACTCTTTTGTGTAAATCAACAATTTATCATAGACCGATCACTGATTACATGCTTAGGAACAGGATATATAGTGCAAAATCCAATTAAGAAGGTCTTTAATTAGCGCTAATTACATGTTTAATCATAGTTACGAGTGCAGAGGATAAAACAAGTGTCATTTAGTACATTACACTGCGCTGGAGCAAAATTTGTCACTTAAGAAAGTTTCAAGTGGTGGCATCCCTACTTAAGAAAGGATCAAACATCACCAGGGGTCTATATAGTCAATCTGTGAACATTGAGGGCAACATATCTAAAGCCCTACCACTTAACACCGGCGTACCACAGGGATCAATTTTAGGTCCACTGTTATTTATTATTTATACAAGTGACCTACAGCTTTGTATCCATAGTGAGTGTAATTTGTTCATGTATGCCGACGACTCCACATTAACGTGTAGTTCTACCAGTGTTGAAGTAGAAAACAACTTGAATACAGCCCTAGCGAGAATTTACGACTGGTGTGTCAGAAACAAACTTACATTAAACACCAGCAAAACCAAATCCATGCTTATTGGAACTAATATAAAAGTCTGCGGTACTGACCTTAATGTCAGTATTGCTGGTAGTCCAGTTGTAAAGGTGCACTCTTGTAAGTGTCTAGGTGTTATTATTGATGACACTTTAACTTGGGGCCCACACGTAGAATACTTGAAGAAAACAGTTTCCTTTTAACTAGGTATGCTAAATAGAATCCGTGACTATGTTCCCCAAAGCTGTCTGCACTCTCTTTTTGTTAGCTTAGTTTTGTCATCTTTAGATTATTGTTGTACTGTATGGGGAGGAAGGTACACATCACAAAACAATATTCTTAATAAATGTTTGAAAAGAGCCGCGCGGATAATCCTGAAGTGTGCATTCTTAACACCTTCAGCCGATATGTTTGCTAGTCTTAATTGGATGTCATTTGCTGAACTAGAGTAGAGTATAAAAAGGCTATTCTTGTTTACAAATGTATAAACGAAATTACTCCTTTATATATGACAAATATGTTTACACCACTTATTCAGATTCGTGAAACAAGACAATCCACTGATATGGCATTGAGGATTCCTTTTGCCAAAAAAACAAATGTTATGCCTCAAGCTTTGCTGTAACTGGTACAATCATTTGGAATAATTTACATGTGCAGTTGAGAACCATGACTTCACTAGCCTCATTCAAATCTGAACTACGTAAAACGTTCAGTCAGTAATAATATTTCTGCAAATAAGTATTTGTGTATTTGCCGCTGTCTTCTCTGATTATACAAATCTAGATATGTGCTGATCTACGGAGTTAACAAACTTGGTTGCCATGATAATAAGAAGATAATAAGGAGCCGGATGGGAAATTCCCCGTGTTTTCTTTCAAAAGGGGGGTTTTTGCCCCTCCCGTAATCAGCAAATATAGTTACAGCAATATTTTTTTTTTGTTGATGTTACAAGATAGATCCAAATTTTTCGTGTTCACTGAATCAACTTTATAGTAAAGCATTCACACTGTACATGTAGTTATAATAGTTTTAAAATATATTGTATTTATAATATTTACTTAACACCTATGCATTAATCAAAAAATGTTTTATCTCACTGTATTGAATTTTATTGTATTTGTAATGTATTGTATAATTATACATGTTTGTAGTCATTATTTATTGTATTCAGGGCCCCAATGGGAACCAGTTTTAAACTGTTTGGGCATACCCTGTTTAAAGAAATGGAATAAATAAATAAATAAATGAGCACCATTAAGAACAATATAAGTTTAACTTGCATTCACGTGCGGATCAACCGCTTATTATGGACCTCTCTGATTACATGATTAAGACCAAGATAATAGTGCAACGTCTGATCAAAAAGAACCTTATGTACTTTACATGTTTTATAAATAATTAGAATGATGATTAGGAGTAAAATGATAAAAGGACCGTCAGTTTGAACTTTACCCCACACAGGAACAAAACACACCACCTACAAAATGTTTCAATATCACAAACAATCATGAAAGTGAGTGCAACTAATTACCTCCTCAATCACGAATGGATGTAATACCTACGTAATGGGGAATATGAGATCACCAGAGTTTATAATTATAGCATCTTAACTTTGTAGTAGTTTTCAGTTCAGACAAGGTTTGCATTAAAGTTGACAATAATCAATATTGAGAACTTTATTGTGATGATATCATTAACACTGGCTGATGGGCTGCTTTGAAGTAGGAAGTTTAGTTGATTAGTCCCCAGCGATGATGATGACGACAACCGAGAAATGAGTACTGTTCATGTTCGAGAAAGCATTCGCCCCGAAAGCAAGGGCGGCACATCCATTACATAAGCCACAAAGCATCGATGGTAGCAGCCTTCCACCTTGTCAAGCTGAGCTGCGTGAGGCCATGCAAAACGAGCTGCTTTTGTGGCGAGGATGTGGGGAAGAGCAACAGAGCAAAAGATCGTTCAACATCCAGTCGCCAGCGATGGACGGGCAGAGGAAGATGGCTTCTACGATATCCCCCACTTTTTTTGGGGGGGGGGGAATGGTCTATTGAATCATCTCCCCCCCCCCCCCACTTTTTCATGATGAGGAAAAAAATGTGGATTGTGAGGTATTTTTAAAACATCCCGACAACCCAAATGTGTTGGCACTGGAAAGTGGAGAAACAAAGTACAAAAGCTTTTAAAATGCGAGTATACTTGCTGAAGCGCTTTTTGAATTTGCACGGCCGGGCAATTCTTAGATTTTGGTCATCCCCCATCCTCTCCCACTCCCCAGCACAGATTTACGCCACTGATCCCCAGCGATGATGATTTTACTTATACTGTTCTTAAGTATGCAAATACAATTCTGTACATGATAAACTTTCGATCCATGAAAAAAATTTGGTTTGCACTCAAGATTATGATTAAATCGAATTTTTGGGGGACTGTAAGGGACTCCCCCCCCCCCCCCCCCCCCAACGCACCACTGGCCAAACTTAAGAAATTCTATTTTACTGTTGTCGTAGTCACTCCTACATATCCCATGCTTCAAACCTTTTGCACTTGAAATTATGATTAAACCTCATTGGGCTCCCGACCAGAGCAGTGAAATTCATGCACCCCCCAAAAAACATGGCTTTTTGAACGTTGTGTTTCTCAAAAAATATGCTCGGTATGATCAGTGAAAAACCACCGTCATTGATGCTAAAACGTCAATACTGGTTATTGGTAAAGCTGACCTTAAAGTCGTGAAGAAAGCGTTCGAAAATGTCCCAAAATCTATGTATTTATCTCTATTTCTAGGAATCCCACAAGTTTTTATTTCACGAGTAGATGAACACTAATATCATCTAAGTATATTCCTAACTTCATTTTAATTTGTTGTTGCCAACGCTTGTGTTGCACCTTTAACTACATGTATCTCCAAAGAAAATTTTGATGAGGATTTTTTCCTGACCAAACTCGTGTGCACGGTTTTCAGGTTGGCTGCTTTTGGGGCAACATTGATGAAGCGCATATAAGCGTATTAATAGTGTGGCTCAGCATGATTTCGCATGGGTCTCGGTATCGACCAATGGAAGCCGGCAAAAAGGGTGATATTTATTAATTGATAATTTGTGAAGGAGGTGATACTGCAAATTTTTACTGCATACCATAATGGATAGAAACCTTATTGATATTTGTGAGGCTTGAAAAGATTGACAAATATTGCAAACTCCAGTGCTACATCTTTAAAAAAATACACGTAACCAGGCCTATTTTTCCAATTTCAACAAAGAGTAATTTGATCATTATAAGGGAAACAAACCCTGATAGTTCCAAGAAGATACAGTCTTCCAAACAGGAGAAATTTTGTACGTAGCGTCCAAGTACGTAATTGGATTAACTTTCTCTAACAACAGCGACGCTAAGGCCTTCGCAACCACATGTCTGTCATTGTCACCTTCACCATGCAAAATTTATCATATAATAGATTAGACCATTGAATTTCTGTTATTTTTTATTCAAGTTAAAAGGAACATAGTTTTTAGTTTTGACAACAGAAAATGAAACAAAGCTAGGTGTTAATGCCACAACACTCTTTTGTGGTTAAGTTGATATACACAAGTAATTTAAAAGAACCAGACACCGAAAATCCTACTTTCCTTTTTTATGTGTACAGTCCAAGAAAACAGATACGTTAACCTGGCTGTCCATTTATCGCCATTCTATCTCCGTGGTAACGGTGATGCTTGGAACCTTACAGCACAGTTTCCTACCGGATGCCCTGGACTTCTTTGGAGTGCATCGGGAACGCATGATGCAGGTCAGTTGTACGCCTCTGTATAGTTCCTTCCATCATTATAAAAGCTATAGTCATTGATCCAGCATAACATTATCTTAATTTCTAGGCAACCATAAATTAATCAAGGTCAATGTACTACAGACTTATTCATTTAAGCCAATTTATGCATTGTTGAAGACTTGAAATCAATCAGTATTTGGCCAAGTTTTGTTTGCCCGTCACGCACCCTGCTGCAATATTGACAACTACCGCACACTGTCCCTGGGTATACATGTTAGGGACGGTTAGTGCATTCTTGATTCCCAATTCCCCAATAAGTGTGTATGTCGATTCCAATTATTGACTTGAACAACTTGTTCTCGGCTTTGTACACCTCATAAAGCAATTGCTACCAGATTTTGACGGAGCAGTCTGATTGGTTAAGATACAGGAGAACATGAATATTCATATTACACCTTACAACTTGCACATCTTTTGCACGTGCACACGTATACCCAAAGGTGTGTTTACCGTTGATCGTGGACGTCCTATTGTTCCTCTTTTATTTGTACTCTTTTTAGGAAGACTCCCATAGGTTTTGTATACGACCCCAATCGCAGACGTATGCTGGGAATCGTGGACGATATAGTTCTCTTTAGTTCTCTGGTATTTTTCGACCACGGTTTGAAAAGATGAACACGTACACATGTTGTGTTGGTGGTGAATGCAATATAGCCGAGAGCGAGTCCAATTCCTGGAAGCGTCTCAAGCTTATTCCTGAGCCGTAGTTGTTTTGTTTCCTCCAAAGCTTAGGTTTTGAAAACTAAAGGTTAAAGTGTAAAAACAAAACAAAATAGAAAACATAACTTTATCCCAGCCATTCCTCTTCCTTTTCTAGGCTCCTCTCTTCTTGTCTGTGATGTCATAATTTTACTGTACACAGTTTACCACAGTTTTCATAAATAAAGCATGACATGTACAATGGACCACCACTATAAGGAACATCGTGGGATCTACAGAAAGTGCTTGCAATAGCGATCCAATGGTATAGCGATTTTGAACCGCCAGTACCCCCTTTTAACCAATAGTGAACTGTCATTTCTCACATCTCATGGCCGCATGAGGAGTCATCACGGAACTTTAGCAACGGGTGATTTTCCCTTTTATTCCTTGGGGAAATAATAGCCATCTATCACTCTTCAACTTTCAAACACGATGTAACCATGGGTGGTTTGATTTGCACATCGAAACGGCTAACAGGGGGGGGGGGGGGGAGGAGTGGGAAAAATAAACACATATTAAATCCAGTCGAAATAGGGCACGCTTCAAGTAGGGCCCAATTTTAGGTGGTATTTTAAGAGACGGTCGCCATTGTAAGTACCAGTGGCTCAAAATCACTACATCAAACAAACGTTATTATGAACATTTGTTTGTGGATCCCTCGATGTTCGTTAAAGTAGCTCTCCACTGTTCTCAGTATGTCTAGGAATTAATCTTCTTTGTTGTTTTTCCTCCTTATTTCTTTAAGAGAAAAATTCATGTAAAATAATAACCATTAAAGACTCATTTCATTAACTCACTTTTAATCAATATAAATTTGAACAAACAAATGGCACATAGCAGGATTAAAATATGTAGCCTCTGCACATGCCACCATTAAATCCGGCTACATTCAATTTTTTTACTCAACCAAGAAATTGTGATATGAGACAAAAAGGGAATTTGACTAGGTTCCCTTTTCATGAATTTATTTTGCACATTGAAATTGAGTGGAACAGGATTCAAACCTGCAAACCTCCAAAACAAACTACCAGAACTCTACCAACTGAGCTAGCAACCCTATCTTGGCTAGTCGTCCAATTTGTCAATGTGTTTTTTCATGATGAGCTAGTTAGAAACCAGAAGAAATATGTTAAGAATATGTACAAGAATTGGCACTCTGTACAGAAATGTCTATTTCCCTTTTGTTTGTACAGTGCCTTGATGCTGTGAGGTACAACCAGAGCCAAGCCTGCCTGATGGAAGCAGAGACAACCAGTGCCTTCATCTACCAGCTCTCACACTTTGCTAAGGAACTGGGCAGTCGCATGAGGACTGGAGAGGTCCAAGGACTGTTGCTGTGTGTGACGTCGCTGTGTCACTGCTGTGTGGCATTGCTGATCAGGCCAAAGCTGCTGCAGTATCTGACAGAGGTGAGTTGTGGGGTAGCAGGCTGGTGTAATATCTGACAGAGGTGAGTTGTGGGGTAACAGGCTGGTGTAATATCTGACAGAGGTGAGTTGTGGGGTAACAGGCTGGTGTAATATCTGACAGAGGTGAGTTGTGGGGTAACAGGCTGGTGTAATATCTGACAGAGGTGAGTTGTGGGGTAGCAGGCTGGTGTAATATCTGACAGAGGTGAGTTGTGGGGTAACAGGCTGGTGTAATATCTGACAGAGGTGAGTTGTGGGGTAACAGGCTGGTGTAGTATCTGACAGAGGTGAGTTGTGGGGTAACAGGCTGGTGTAATATCTGACGGAGGTGAGTTGTGCGGTAGCAGGCTGGTGTAATATCTGACAGAGGTGAGTTGTGGGGTAACAGGCTGGTGTAGTATCTGACAGGTGAGTTGTGAGGTAACAGGCTGGTGTAGTATCTGACGGAGGTGAGTTGTGGGGTAACAGGCTGGTGTAATATCTGACAGAGGTGAGTTGTGGGGTAACAGGCTGGTGTAATATCTGACAGAGGTGAGTTGTGGGGTAACAGGCTGGTGTAATATCTGACGGAGGTGAGTTGTGCGGTAGCAGGCTGGTGTAATATCTGACAGAGGTGAGTTGTGGGGTAACAGGCTGGTGTAGTATCTGACAGGTGAGTTGTGAGGTAACAGGCCGGTGAAGTGTCTGACAGAGGTGAGTTGTGAGGCAATAGGTTGGTATAGTATCTGACAGAGGTGAGTTGTGAAGTAACAGGCTTCTATAGTACCTGACAGGGGTGAATTGTAAGGTAACAGGCTGGTGTAGTATCTGACAGGGGTGAATTGTGAGGTAATATGCTGGTGTAATATCTGACAGAGGTGAGTTGTTGGGTAACAGGCTGGTGTAATATCTGACAGAGGTGAGTTGTTGGGTAACAGGCTGGTGTAGTATCTGACAGGTGAGTTGCAAGGTGGCAGGCTGGTGTAATATCTGACAGAGGTGATTTGTGAGGTAATAGGCTGGTGTAATATCTGACGGGTGAGTTGTGAGGTAACAGGCTGGTGTAGTATCTGACGGGGGTGAGTTGTGAGGTAATAAGCTGCTGTAGTATCTAACAGGTGACTTGTGGGGTAGCAGGCTGGTGTAGTATCCGACGGGTGAGTTGTGAGGTAATTGGCTGGTGTAGTATCTGACAGGTGAGTTGTAAGTTAACAGGCTGGTGTAGTATCCGACGGGTGAGTTGTGAGGTAATAGGCTGATGTAGTATCTGACTGGTGAGTTGTGAGGTAACAGGCTGGTGTAGTATCTGACAGGTGAGTTGTGAGGCAATTGGCTGGTGTAGTATCTGACAGGTGAGTTGTAAGTTAACAGGCTGGTGTAGTATCCGACGGGTGAGTTGTGAGGTAACAGGCTGGTGTAGTATCCGACGGGTGAGTTGTGAGGTAATAGGCTGATGTAGTATCTGACAGGTGAGTTGTAAGTTAACAGGCTGGTGTAGTATCCGACGGGTGAGTTGTGAGGTAACAGGCTGGTGTAGTATCTGACAGGTGAGTTGTAAGTTAACAGGTTGGTGTAGTATCTGACGGGTGAGTTGTGAGGTAATAGGCTGATGTAGTATCTGACAGGTGAGTTGTAAGTTAACAGGCTGGTGTAGTATCCGACGGGTGAGTTGTGGGGTAACAGGCTGGTGTAGTATCCGACGGGTGAGTTGTGAGGTAACAGGCTGGTGTAGTATCTGACAGGTGAGTTGTAAGTTAACAGGCTGGTGTAGTATCTGACGGGTGAGTTGTGAGGTAACAGGCTGGTGTAGTATCTGACAGGTGAGTTGTAAGTTAACAGGCTGGTGTAGTATCCGACGGGTGAGTTGTGGGGTAACAGGCTGGTGTAGTATCTGACTGGTGAGTTGTAAGTTAACAGGCTGGTGTAGTATCTGACTGGTGAGTTGTGAGGTAATAGGCTGATGTAGTATCTGACTGGTGAGTTGTAAGTTAACAGGCTGGTGTAGTATATGACAGGTGAGTTGTGAGGTAACAAGCTTCTATAGTATCTGACAGGGGTGAGTTTGGATGTAAACAGGCCTATCAATTCAATTTGAACATTTTTGTTTTGGTTAGACACATAACTTTAGGAATTGTGTCTTATTTTGGCAGAAGAGTACCAAACATACAAACATGAATAAGCAAGAGCGTATGGTGCTGACAATGAACGGCACCCCAATAAGGCTACGACAGCAGACATCAACGACAGATCTGGCAGAGAATAAATATAGCCTAGAGGTGCAGCACATCCAGGCCAGGTATGTTGGGTTTTGGGCAAGTGTGTGGCTATTGTGGAGGGCATTGAGTGACGTTGAAAAAGGCAGTTGAGCAGGCATGGGATGTTCTGTGGCATAATAATAGTGTATTTACTATTGAGATAAAAAAAGAGAATAATTTCCTTAAACTCAGTCAAGTTTATCCATTATATTTAGCATTTCCAATCAAAGTTCCATTGCCTATTCTGTACTTGTTGGTTTGATTGTACATTGCTTATTATAGCAGTCAGGTTATCACTTGGGTATTTTCCTTGCCTCCCATCTCTGGTGACAAGATTCAGTCCAAACTTGATCCTTGACATTTTTCTTTTGGGTGAAATTGGGAAATCCCTTCATAGTGTTTTTCAATTCGTGTTTTAACATGTTAAAGTCACGCTATAGCAGCCTCAGCTCAAAAAAAGTAATGGTCACTAAATGATGAACTGCATGTCTTGCATGGATGACATTCCTTCTAAAATCATGGTTGCTATGAATTTTCAAATTGGAAGGAATTGAGGAAAACTCCAGGAGAAAAGTAAGCAGAGCAGAGAGATGGGAGTTTTTTTTCAAGAAAAGTCAATTTTAAACTGTGGTGCAGAGTTTTCAATGACAATCCTGCCCTTTCAACTTTCAACAATAATCTTGATATGAAATTGACAGCTGCAACCCAATAGAGTGAAAAGCAATATGCAGATTTACCCACAGATCTTAAGTTTGATAGTTCAAGCCACAAGGACACGGCACCCCATTCTTTATCCAACTCAGAAAACGATAAATCATGTCATTGATCATGTGTTTTTGAACTAGTTTTAACTTCAATCTTACTTCAGATTATTGGTGATATTGGGCCATGGCTTGGCTGCCTTGAGACACTTCAGCCCAGATCTGCTGACCATTCTGCTGAACCCAGTAAGCTAGCGTTTTGTTCATGTAATGTGATATAATCTGGGAACACACTTAAGGTGATCAAACACTAATTTATGTTAAACTATTGAATCGTTCACAAATTACTTGATAGCTGTTGTTAAATCCTGTTATTTATTTATTTTTGAAATTATTATTTTCTTCATCGTATTTTGTCTTCATACATCCAGTTTTAATTTTTGAAAGTATAAAAATAAAGTCTTACTAAAATGCTCATCACTGATCAGTCCCCCCCCCTTGAAAAATGATACAAGAATAATGGGAGGTGTTTGGCATCCTTTTGAAGCTGAGACTAACCTCTTTGTTGAACTTCCGTATGACATCGACGTCAGTAGTTCAAATAAATAAAATATTGGGAGAGGTTTCAAATGAAGTCTGTAAAAGCAACACGAAGGCAAAATGTAATTCATTCAAAAACAAGCATTATGAATGAAACAAATGCTCAGTGCAGTATCTAAAGTTCTATTCAGTGATATACGTTGGGTTTATCGGATTGTGTCACACATCATCCTTGCCTTCTTGAGAAAAGACTTTCTCCCTGATATTGAATCATTACAGAAAACTGTATGTATCAATAAATGTTGGGAGACTCTTGTATTCTAGCAACACTGTTTTTACTTATGTTTATAACAAAATAAAAGGTTAACCAGTAGTACATTTTGCCTTCATGTTGCTTTTTTGGGACTTCACTTTAAACCTCTCCAAACATTTAATTCATTTGAACTATTGACGTAGATGTCATACGGAAGTTCTGCAAAATTATGCAAACAACCCTCTGCATTCATGTGTTATCAGTGCTTGCCCTTTTACACACTTAACTTTCTTTAGTCATCTTTAAATATTTCTATGGGTTTTATTTGTTACTGTACAGAGTGTTGATATTTTGGAGTACCAGATGTTGCTAGGCCTTGGGTTTAGCACACCAACTCTAGAGACTGACATTGAACCATCATTTGGATTGCTTATATCCTGCATCAATATGTGTGTCCAACTACTGAGTAAGGTAATGACACTGAGATTGACTAGTAATCTTGAAGGCTCTTTGTACCTACAGAATACCATCGTAAACAATGAAGAACATTTATACATTTCTAGAGGTGGTTCAAGTGACATCACTGGAGTAAATGAACAATACATAAGATGACATAATGCATGTGCTTGTTGTCTCACTGGACCGCAATGCCAGGCGGGTCCAAGCCATCACCCTGGGGCTGCACAGTCATATTTCCAGCCTTGGTCTCTGGCTGTGACTCGCTGGCCGATATATTCCGGCCTCTGTCGTTGCGGGTTTTCAGTCATCCAATCTGACTTGCGGAAAACTTTTGCATGTATACACAGCCTCAGTTCTATGGATTGTCAGGTGATAAGATTGGATGCCTTGTGATTGCCATGACCATGTACTTCCAGGTTTGTTTATGGTGCCAGTACACATCAACAGCATGTGGACAACTTTTAAATGAATACAACAAATGCATATTCTGTCAAGCAACTGTCATAACTGATCACAACTCATTTTGTTGCGCATAATTATATTCTCTGTGCATAACTTTCCACTTTCCAGGATTGCCTGATACCAATTACGTCATTGTTTTGTTTTGTTTTTGTGGGGTTATTTATCAGTTGGATTGTAGCAAGACCAGCCTGTCACCTGATGAGACAGCACCTACCATTCTGCCTGTTTCTGGGTCATCTATGCCTGCACAGCAAAGATACATGGACAGGTCAGTGCAAGTCCGTCATATTACAGAGACAAAAGAATACAGCAAAAGTCCTAATTAACCCCAAGATATCATTCGCTTCTCTGAGCGGGGGTGCGGCCACTCAGTTTTCTCCTCGAATACAAGTTTTGAGATAACATTTTCTATTAGACAGTTCCTGTAGCTGTAATTAACAACACATTTTACATACTATTCTGATGTTGAGAAAAATAATTATAACTGTATAAATGTGGATGAAATGTTGAAGAGGAAGTTAGAAAATGACATTTCTGAGGCAAGTGCTTATTGGCAAACAGTATGTTGAATTTCCTATAGTACTTATTATTATAAAACTTGTTGTTGCAGACCCATGATAATGTTCATACTGGAGACCTCTGTTGAGCTGCTAATGGTGCAGGGGTTGCGGTGCCTTAAAGATCCTACACTACCAGTCCGAGATAGACAGATAGTCAAACGGGAACTAGGCACAGAACTTGTGAGTATCAGATGGAAGATTGCGAGTATCAGATGACCTGTTACTCAATCATGTTACTCAATTTTTCCAAGAAGTTAAATTTCTATTTCATTTCATATTCAAAATGAAAAAAAAAATCACATCAGAGTGTAACTAATGAACCTGCTTTGGTCTCTCCGCATATCTAAGAATTTAGAAAAAAATTAAATATCCCATGATGGGGTCAGCAGCAGTAAATAGAAAGTTTGGGGTGGTGGGTGATACATCTTCGGTTTTCTTTTTGTGAGCTCTGTGGGTTGGCTTTTTTTTTTGGGGGGGGAGGGGGGATTAAGAGCTTAAGCTGACATAGGAAACAAGTACATGTTATTGACTAGTAACTGAAAATTACACGTGATTTGCATACTCTATTCCCAAGTTTTCTCTCTGTTAATGGAAATGCCACAAAATTAATCTGTCCATTACTGATTATTAACTGATAAACATTGAAGAATACCTTTTAATACAATGACCTATGGGTTTATTCTTACCTCCATGCATGAACAAAAACTTGCGACACAAAACAGACAAAAATCACCATCATTTCAGAAAAAGACTTGATTTTGTTCCTCATATACCAAACAAATTCTGACCTGAAAATAATGTTTCAGTCTTGACTCCAATGAATAAAATCTCATTTGTTTTGAATAACCACCCCTCCTCTTCCCTCAGCATTATTGTCCATACGTTTTGTTACTCGGTCGTTCCTGCTATAATCTTCATTGTTGTCATTTGCACTTCTATTTCAGGCCACTTTCCTGCAGAGTCTGCAACGGTATTTCCGTCGAGGGGGTGGGCCCTCCTCCCCCAGCTCTGCCAGTCCTTCAACCTCCTCCACTAGCCTCCTACGCACCCCCTCAACATCCATCCTCTCCAAGTCCTCTAGCCACACCTTGTTCTCTCAGGCCCCAGAGCAGGCCTTCTTTCGAGTTGTGCAGCACTTTATGCAGCAGATTCTACGATAGAGACCACTTTCAATAGGGTTTCGATTGCTTTTTGAGGGGGGGGGGGGATTTTTGGTCAAGATAACTGGTTCAAACCAAGATGGCAGAATGTAATTTTGTGAAGCTGATGGGCAGATTCTTTACACTTATTTCTCTTTGTTCTTTCCATTATTTCTTGCTTGTTTATCTGTTTCTTATGTAAAATATGCACTAACGTGTATTTGTTATTATTCAAGAGAAAACAAATACCTTTTCAAGCATAAAAAGGCATTTATGTCTATAGATGATTATGGGGAACGATTTCTGTTGTGCACCTGCACGCTCTGTGTATTCAAGGTATGTGAACATTGCGGTTATTGGAGCATTTGTTGACAGCACAGCTGACAGCTTCATATGGAGTGGCCATTCAAACTTGCTACTCTAATTTGCTATTCTAATACAGGTTCAAATGATTATTAAAACAGAATAATAATTCAAGAGAGAAAACCCTTATTTAGCTGGAAAAAACTCCAGTGACCTTGAATTCCTAAATAGTGGGGTTTCCTTGGGCATATAAAAAGCTGAGCAAGTTTTCCAACCTGATCCTTACTGGGGAAGTGCAGCGTACAAAATCTTTCTTTTTTTGCAATTCTCATCTTAATAAAACATCCTTTCTTCTACACACCAGCAGAATATCGAATTAAATGTCAAAACAAATTTAATATATCAACCACATATTTAGAAACAGTGATGAAATAGAGATTGTTTTGTTTGATGAGAGTTTGGAGGTAGAGAATGTCAACGCCACATAATATAAACCTAGGCTGAAGCAGCTGATGTAAACACTAACAAGTGTGTTGCCTCATGAACATGTACTTCAAACTAAGAATTGTGGGTTTGCTTTCCAGTTATAAATGACCAAAAAGTCTAGGTTGAAATAATGACAATTCTACATTGGGAATTGTCTTAAAAAAAAGGAATAAAAATGAACTTCATTTCTGTATGGTTAAAACCGAGCACACCACTGTCATGAATAAATAAGTGTATGTAGAATTAAAATTACTAAATTGTATTGAAGTTCGAGTGTTTTGTGTGTCCTTGTTATGTCCCATCTTGTGTATCCCATGAAAACCTTTGAGGAAGGTCTATGCATATATATACATTATCTTCACAAATCACTTCAATACATAATTGAGGATATTTTTGTCGGTCCACATCCCAGGACTCATGAGGAGGTGGGATCTCGCAGGACGCTTCCCTCCCATTTCGCACACTGCGCTGATGGCTTCTCATGTGTTTCATTGCTTCATTACAAAGACTAGGCCAATAGAACCTGTTCTTGACAAGTTTCAGGACCTTCCCATATCCAAACTGCTCCATGTTTCTGTGGAGACTCTTGAAATCCTCCTCTCTCTGCTGTTGGGGAAGCACTACCAGTTACCGCGCTTTCAGCTTTCCTGCCACCCTTCCTATAAATAAGGAGGAGTCCTCTCACCTCGAGGTGACTCCATGCGCCTATGGCAGCTTCTGCATAACTGTCTCTTTGGACAGCTGCCTCCTGGTAATCCTCACGGGGCTTTCCGACTTTAGCCCCATAAATGTGGCCAATTTACTGGACTACCTCCGTAAACATAGGCCACACTTCCACCATGTACAAAAACATGTCGAACTTTGTCAAATTTTGATTTTCACATTTAGGCTTAGTTTGTAGGGTTTTTTGCTTGAGAAGCATACTCACCCTCGTTATACTAAATCAGAAAGTGCTGCCTTTTCCGGATGTCTAATTTTCATGAAATTTCATGTTGAAATTTTGATACGCAAACGTGTGCAAACGAATCATACAAAAACAAACGCAAATGTAACGCTCAGGCACCAGACTATTCCTCATTTGCATACGCGTTCAAAAATCTTGCACAATCCAATCGACCTATCGCGGTAGATTTACGTTATAGACTCGTGTCAACACAGCTTGTGAAATATTGTCCAGTTACATGATATACAAATAGATGCGGAATGCGTAGAATCTGAGACAAACAAAACTTAGTGTACAAAAACTCCATTGGGTTGTCTAAGGGGCGTGGCTAACTCGCAAACTACGATAGGTCAATAGTACCAGGGTGAGAGAGCAGGTATCCAATCAGATCGTGAATTCATCAGCCCTTCCCGGCATCCTGTTTGCAGGGCGGCCGGTGGGACGAGCAAAGCCGTACCATAATTTACACCAAATCTAACCTCGTCCCCAGGGTGTCGAACAGTACGCGCCCATCACTACCTGCTCTTACTTTTGGAAACGAGGTTGGAAATAAAGTGAGCACTGGGGACGAGGTTGCACCTAATCCAGTCAGATTTCAGGTGTACGTGCAACCTCGTCCCCAGTGCTTACTTTATTTCCAACCGCGTAGTGGTGGGCGCGTACTGCTCGACACCCTGGGGACGAGGTTGGTGTACGTGTAGCGTGAATATCCGACTCCATTAGTCTGGTTCCCAGACCAAAAGATTCTGACTATTCCTGATGAATTATTATCAGGTAGCCTCCGGTAATACATTGTATTACAATTTACGTCACGTGACTAAAACGGGAGGAATTCCTCCTTTTTCCGAAAATGTCCGAAGTCTGCCGAATTCATTTCGTCGACAATCGGATAGTGTCCGAGTATTTCCGAGTATAATTTAGGTTTTATTAACTGCTAATTGCTTATTAAAAACTTTAAAAAACTAGTTGATAATTAATATCCATTGTTTTTATTTAGAAAACTTGAAATTCAACGACGATTTTGCACTCGGATCGTATACGAGGGCGAACTTTTTGCTGCGTCATGCACAAGTTTGAATTTGACGACCGTTACCGGCATTTTCCAAAACTCGGCGTGGTCTCAATTCGGCTCCGCCTGCTTACAGTGCTGTTTGGGTGTCTAACTTTGAAGATTCCAGGTCAAAATTAGTCAATGTTTTCTTACAGAAGTATTAAACTGTATATCATAACTGTATGATACATGAAGCAAGTGATTCATTTTAAAAAAATGATCGGAACATTAAAAGCTTTATGTGATAAAGCGAATTCGTAAACGAAGCCGAGCTTTGAAAAAGGGCAGTCAATGTCGTCATGTTTATTTTTAGCTACGGAGGCTGCTCGCGCAAGGACTATAGTTGACCAATGGTTAACGAACGTTTGCCCGAACTCTGTCTAGTCGACGATGGTTGACTACGCTAGTCGACTATTTGGAACCAGCCTACTGGGGTTGGTTGCTTCGCTGGTAACCAATAGCCGCGCGCATCCATAACGCTAGCAGAGAGCCAGGATCCAGAAGTTTTGCGATGACATTTTGACCAGCGTTTGACTAGAGACGTTTGCACATTGCTATCAGTGCGCAGGCGTAAGGTACGTCACAAATCAACCACTAGTCGACTAATGGTCCTTGCCCGAACTTGGCCTTAGACGTGTAGACGTCGGGGGAAATTGTCAGGTCGGGGAACCAGACTACGACTCCATGAAATGTGGACTCATTGGTAGTGCGCACGCGTGAGTACGATACTTTTAGGATCGTAATTGGGGAGAGTGACCTGTCACGTGCGAGGGATTAACCAATAAAAGGGAAAAAGGGGTCCGATTTTCATAGGAGTCGGATTTGCATGTGACACCGGATCCCCAGCGTGCCTGCTTAGCGTTAGGGTGACCGTTTTAGCCGATTTTCGGCTTACTTTGACAGAATTTTTGTTAAATAAAAAAAAAACGAGTTTGACAGAAAATTTGACAGAATGGATTTTTTGGCAGATTTTTGGCAGAATTCTGCAAAAAAACCTATTTACCAGAAAAACAGCAAAGTTGAACAAAAAAGTGTACATTTGTTTACAAAAAAGCTTCAGTCCTTTTAAACAAACCCTTGCATAATGGGACAGGTTGGCTGCTAGGCGGAGGTTCACTGGGAAATGGACATCGTCATTGCGGATCTGCGTTTCGCCCGAAATTTACCAATAATTAATTCACAACATCTTTATGTGACTAGCTTGTTTATTATGTAATTTGAATCTTAATTAAAACGCAGTACTACAAATCTGCATGTGATCTTAAGTGTTTATAATGTATTTCGAGTAATTCTGGGGAATTTGGCAGATTTTTGATAAATCTGACAGATATTTGATGTGCATTTAGCAGAATTTGGCTCTGACCTTACGGTCTACTCCTAGAACTATGATGCTCCGCGTGAGCATAGTAGTACTGTACTTACGGTCACCTTGGCTAGCGTACTATTCGACGCAAAAGCACTAAAGGTAAGCGCCTTCCCATCTTTTGTCGTAAAGTTATGGTACAATTTCGAGAATTATGGCCACATATGTAGCCCCACCATGGCACTAGCACTAGACATGCTAGACGTGTGTTCGCGGTATTCGCGGCCGTACCAGTGGGGCTAGGCCACATGTTAATTATGTAATCGTCCAGGCATGCCAGGCAGCCATGCCCATGGCAGCTAAGGCCAAGTTCGGGCAAGGACCATTAGTCGACTAGTGGTTGATTTGTGACGTACCTTACGCCTGCGCACTGATAGCAAAGTGCGACGTTAGGGGCCGCGCCACGTTAGGGTACATCAACAATATACAAACCGGGATAATTCGGGTTCGATGATACATAATGGGACAAGTATTTTTTTTTTTGAGTTTGACAACTTGGAAATTCGTTTCAGAACTTGATTAATTATTACATTCAAATTGTTTGGTTTCCATTTCTTAAATATATACATGTACTAAAAAAAAATACAATTAAAGAAACGACATCGATTCATGCATACGGTAGTTTGGTTCAGAAATATATTTAGGCCTAAAGTTTGGAAAAGTAGTCCTGTAATTAAACTAGTCATGCTAGTAGGATAATAATTCATTATGTCGTTGCGTTGAATAGACGGCGAGGATCCTCCTAACAGTAACACTACAGCATGCCTTGCCTGCGAACCAAAATGTCACCGTGGTTGTACGTAAGTACGTTCATCCGTACATCTACACTAGTGAGCGCAATAGTCCCTGCAAAAACGATGTCTGAAAGAAAGGGCAGGACAGGAGACTGGTGACGAGTCTATGATTGGGTGATTTACTCTCCTTTAATTACTGAAATGATGAAAATTAGAATGATGAAGATAGTTGCTGAGCTGGTTAGGTTGATTTACTGATGAAGACCGAGTTGTCGGTAGCTTTAAGCCGTGGAATGGGAGCCGTGTACTGTAATGGAGGCTCAGTATGATGGAATTTGTAGAGGCCTTGGATGCCGTGTAGGCCGTGTAGCCCGTGTAGCCCATGGTTCAACAAGAAAACCAAATTAATACAATAATAAATATTGGAACCTACATTTATGAGGTGACATGAAAACACAGTGCAAAATGGTCTGAAATACATGTAATAATTTCCCCCAGTTTCAACTAAATTATCAAACAAACTGAGAGATTAGATAAGCTATTATAAGCCCCAAATTACTCTAAATTAACCAGCAATAATGATTAAATACGAGGGCATAATCCATATTTAAAAGAACGAACATGTACCCACAGAGCAACATACGAAGAAAACCCTCGTTATTTATCCCGTTACAAAATAGGCCATCAGCCTCGGTCCAAAATTTAGGCCACCAGTATCAAATGAGGGGAATAATCATCATAGTGATTTTTGGCAAGGTATACAGCTCCAGAATTAGAAAATATGTGGCAGCATTGCAGCGGTGGCAGCTTTTTTGGGTGTTATCATCCTTTTTTTCAAAATGCTTGTTACCACTCTAGGGGCGGTATACCTTGCGCATGCGCACTATACCTTGCGCATGCGCACTATAATCATTTATGCCCTGATTTGATACTGACCAAACCCCAGGCTGATGGCCTAAAACCCCCACAAAATATCCCTTAAAATCATCTGTAAATGTACTCGCTTTTAGTATCTACACACGGCCTCTGATGGATGGCATACAGATGATTGTACTTTTGATTGAATGAATAACTGAGAGATTTATTGGAACAATTTCAGGACGAATGTAAGTAAAATTGGAATCATGTTGTAATTTTCAAGATTTTTAATCACAAGAGGGCGCTATACAAGTTTAACGCTCAAACTTACTAAATCTGAAAGTGTCCTTAAGAATCACAGGAGAAGTGCAACGAGTCTACAGTTCAGGTGTTGGCGGGTTCACAATCGGTATAGGCTGTCGTCACTGACCTCGGGAAGCATTATCAGTCGTGCCACTGGGCGAGTGTAGGTTTTACCTCGAACGCTCACGCTGGTAGTGCCGACACGACTGTCGGAACCCGGAAAGGTCTCTGCAACTCTCCTGATGGGCCACTGAGCTCTGCTGAGTGCTGGGTTGACAATCATAACGACATCATTGGTGGTCAGGTTTGGACGGTCTGTATGCCACTTCTGGCGCTCATGGACAGACCGCAAGTAGCATTTGACGAACCCGGACCAAAAGTGATCAGCGAGGACCTGGCCAAGTTAAAATCCCTTGCCGGATAGACCACCTGAGATAGAGACACATCATGCCACCCCATCAGCGGAACGTTTGGAGTCACTGGGTTGGGATCTGCAACATTAGATGAGACATATACCCAGAGGCTTGGAATTCAAGATTCCCTCCACTTCAGTGAGCACGGTGCGTAGTACTGAGTCAGGAATGAACTGCTCATTCTGGGCAACTCTCAGGCCATCTTTCACGGACATGATCTCCTGTTCCCACGTTCCTCCAAATTGTAGAGCCTTCATGCTTGGCAAGCTCCTGCTGTAAGATGGGATCCATGGCAGCAAAGGCGTCCTGTAGCTCATTATCACCTCCTTTGAAATTAGTGCCATAGGTGCACAGGATCTCGAATGGTTTTCCTCGTCTGGAGATGAACCGTCTACAGGCCATCAAGAAGGTGTCAGTATCGAGGCTGTCTAGTAGGTCAAGGTGAATGGCCCTGGTGGTCATACATTTAAATATGATCCCCCAATGCTTCTCGCTCCTTCTCCCAATCTTGCACGTCATTGGACCGAAACAGTCTACCCCTGTTGAGTAGAAGGGAGGCTTGAAGAGGCGGGGGCGTGCTGGAGGCAGATCTCCCGTCTTTGGAACTTGAGGGCTAGCTCTCCACTTCTGGCATTCGGAGCACTGGCATTGATGCTTTGAAATTTCCTTCTCTTCCGTGTAGTGTGGAGGCCAGCCCGGGGGAGTGATGGGTGTGAATAAATAAATAAACACACCAACACGTGGGTTCGAGTCACTCCATGGATTTTAATTCTGTTTAAAGCAAGCGATGCGCAGGCCAACGGCAAGGGAGACAGCACGTTGGGGAATGCGGTGTCACCGCTTGGTGGCGCTGTCACTTACCGCACTTGGATTATCTTGGATTAATATACCTGCACATCCTTACAATCTTCCCAAACAACAAAGTCGTTGCCCTCGACGACAAGTGGAAATCTAGGGTGGAGTAATGACTCATAAAACATGTTAACACTTGAATACAAAACACTTGGATTAAACATTACAATACAACAGTGTAAAGAGCAACAAAAACAGTATAAAAAAGTCAAACTTGCTTTTTTAACAGGTCACATGCACATCTTGGCAGTCATCGGAATCAATACAATTTCTCAATAATAACTAAATGTGTATACCCATTGTCTACTGTGATTGCAGGGTTCATGAAAATGACTTCTCCATTCATATAAAGGAGCCTCAAAGTTGCAAAGAATAATCAATGAGTTACAATCAACTGCTATGTGCCAGTTTCAACAAATTTGGTCAATTTGGATAAATTTTACTGATTCCAAAATTAACAGTTAATGAGGTGTCTTTCCTCCAACAAAGTTAGTGATCAGAGTCATCTGTGCTCTCATGTTCATTTTCTGGAGCAATTAATTGTTTGACATGGTTCAACAGTTTAACAACACTGGAGAATTTGAACTTATCTGGCAGCTTCCCCTTGGTAGTGCGCTTGGATCGTCTAATGAGGGTCTGGGAGTGGCACCCTTCATCGGATGATCAAGTCCAACAGTAAGGCCCAGGTCAGCTGACTCAGCGGGTGACGACGTTATGCTGCTGCCTGGCTAGGGTAGTTCATCACTGGTTACCATCACGTCTGCAGAGTTTTGCCCTGCTTCACCATCCCGTAATTCATGTTCTGGAGATAAAGTGGTGTCTCTACGGTCTGCAAGGGCCAAGCGGTTAGTCTTGCTGGGGTTTGTATTGTCGTCCTCGTCTTCACGCGTTGTCTGGCTCGTGGTGTTTCGGTAGTGGATTTGGTCAGCGTTTGGTGCAAGAGTAAGCAGATTACCCCAGTCACCATCAGTACTCTCAGAAGTAGAAGTGTCCTTCAACGTGGTCTCACTAGCGCGGGTTGTCTCGACTGTCCACATCTGGCGTGGGAATATCCCAAGGACAGTGTTTCAGTTCGCTCCGGTGAAGTACCTTTCGTTGACCCTTTGAATTCTGCACGACGTAGACAGGTTGGCCCTGGTATGGTTGGTCTACAACCATATAAGGCTCAGGCTCCCAAAAGTCTTTGATCTTCGCCCGCCCCCGGTGAGAGCGGTCCCTCACTAGAACATACTCGCCTGTGTTCAATGGCAGTTCGAACACATGCTGGTCATGCAAGGCTTTCCTCACTTCAGCTCCCTTGTCAATATTGGTGACTGCTAGCTTTCGGGCTGCCTCCAGTTGTTTCTGGTGTTTCTTTACATAGCAGTCTGCGGTCGTCCCACTGGTCTGAGGGTGGTCAACATTAAGAAGAAGATGCTGTGGCAGTCGGGCGGTTCTGACAACAGCAGGTGGAAAGGCTTTTATCTGGTGGTAGCGTGCTTGGTGGTGGTGTATGCCATCACTAGGAATGGTAGGTGTTCAGTCCATCTAGACTTCTTGTGCAAGGGTAGCATCATGAGTAGGTTATGGAGGGTTCGGTTGAATCATTCACACAAACCATTTCCCTGGGGATGGTAGAGGGTGGTGTGTGAATGTCTAATTCCATAGATCTTGCACAGCTCAGCAATCACTTGTGCCTCAAAGCATCGTCCATTGTCTGAATGCAGTCGAAGTGGAGCTCAAAAGGGGGTGATTAGGTGTTTTACCTTCGCAATCGTTGATGTCTTCTGGTTTCTTGTAGGTACCGCCCATGTGAACTTTGTGAAAACATCGGTGAATATCAGGACATTTTCGTATCCATCTGACGAGGACTCAAGGAGGGTGAAGTCCATTGCAACGACTTCTAGAGGAGCTGTTGCCCTTAGGGTCCCTAGGGGTGGACTGGCCTTTCTGGTAGGTGGTTTTGCCACTGCACACCTTTCACACTGTTTGCACCAAGTATGAACGCCTTTCTCCATTTTCAGCCAAAAGAACAGGGGTTGGACTGATTGAAGTGCCTCTTAGCCCCGAAGTGTCCCATATCATCATCGAAGGACTTGAAGACGGTGTCAATCAAGCGTGAAGGAGTAACCAATCGCTCATCCTGTCCATCCCCTGGCAGCATTATTTGACGAAACAGGACCCCATTCTTCAAGTATAGTTGGCCCCATTGCTTAAGGATCAAGTCCATGTCCCGAACGTCTCCATCCCTCTCCTGCTTGGAATGTTTACTGCCCCTCTCTACATAGGTGATCACTCAATGCAGAATGACATCCTCATCTTGTAGTCTCCTTAGTTCCTGAGGAGTGTACCCAGGAAGACATGGGCTACCCTCACGATGAACAACTCGAATCTGGTGGGGCAAAGTTGCTGGCATGTCAGTCCCTGCATCGGTAGGACTTGCAAAACTGGTTCGCAAGGCACAGGAAGACAACTCACTGATCTGACACTCTTTATCCTCCTCCTTTTTCACTTTCAAGTCTGGGCTTTAGCCTCGAGTGTGCATTAGGGGCTTGATTAGTTCTGCCTGGCAGGTACTCTAGATGAAAGTTGAAGGAAGCGAGTTGTTGTACCCAACGCAATTCTGTACAGCTAAGGTTAGCCGAGTCAAGGAACTTGAGG